CGAGGCCGCGGCCCGGCTAGGCCCGCTCGCACGCGGCCGGTGAGTGCGCCGCCCCCCGCCGTCCGTCCGCGGCCGCCGCGCTTTGTTCCCGCCGGGCCGCCGCGCAGAGCAGGAAGTGGCCGAGCGCGGCCTGGGCGTGGAGGGCGCGGGCGCCGGGAGCCGACCGCCCAGCCCGGCCTCCGCTTGACCTTGGCCCGCGGAGAGGGGCGCTGTCGGGCGCGGGGGGCTCGGCGCCCTGGGCCGGCGGGGCGCGGCGGAGTGGGGCTGGGGTAGGAGAAAGGCTGGGGCCTGCGAGCCCGTGGGAGGGCCTGGAAGACCTCATTTCCCGTGGACGAAAAGTTGTCGCGGTGGCAGGGCGCCCAGCCTAGCCCACAAAGGGCGCCTGGCCCTCCCGGCCCGGCCCGGAAGCTGCTTCCTGCCTGCCTGGGCCTGGAGGTGCTACCCACCCTGGAGGGCCAGGGGGCCGCCCGAGTCGGGCCGTCCCGGGCCAGCTGGTTCCCGAGCTGCGCTTGTGCCTTGGGGCCCCAGCCCCTCCTTGCTCCAGGCGGCCACTGGTCACAGCCTGCCCCAGCCCCAGTGAAGGGCGGGCGCTTTGGAGGCCGATGGACCCCCAGCTCCCCGCCGAGTGTCAGATGTTGTCTGGGTGTTGTGCCTCAGGCCGTAATGGTAGCGCCCCCCACTCCTGAGTGAGGCACTGGGGACCCGAGGCAGGGTCCCACACCCAGGCGCGCCCTGCCCCTGCACCCGGCGCGTGTGTGTGATGTATTTATACACAGGCCCGACAGCTGTCTGACTGTCAACAGCAGGCCTGGGCCGCGGTGGGGGTGGAGGCGCCCAGGCCACGCCCACTGGGCCACAGAGCCCCCAGCTGCCCTGCCCCGGGGAGCCTCCTGCCCCGCTTCCCAGGACTGTCCAGCGCCCACTTCCCCTGGGGCCTGGTCTTCCCTGTCCCAGCCCTTCACACAGGTGTTGGGGCCTTCCTGCTGGGCCAGATGTCACTGAAGACAATGAGGGCCAGTGACCCTGGGTGCCCAGCCTGAGCCTTGGGAGGCCAGAGACGTGGCCGGTGGGAGGGCTCTAGGCTGGCTGTAGAAGCACTCATGTTGGGGTCCATGCCACCTGGCCCTTGGGTCTCTGCTGGGCCTATAGTCCCCTGAGGGCTAGCACAGGGCTGCTGGCAGGAGTGTCCAGGTGCTCCTTCACAGGATGCCCAGAAGTGGTGACATGGGAACTGGGTTTTGAGGGATGCCTAGGAGTACAGTACTTGCAGTGGGATAGCTGTTTGGCATGGGCTGGCTGGTGGGCCCCTGAAGGGTGTGGCTTGTACAGTGCCCCCCTTTTGTGGCCTGGTGAATGCTGTGATTGTGGGTCTGTGACCAACCTGCTGTGTATGGTCCTCACTCACTGACAGACCATCTGAACGTGTCTTTGTCCTAGGCGCCCAGCCCAGGGCATGGCAAAACCAGAGAAGCCTGGTCCATGCTGGCGGAATGAATGAATCAGATTCAGAGGGCAGGGTGCTGTGGCTTAGGAGGCCTGGGGTTTCTGGTGGACGGTGTCAGTATCGCCACGCTCCGGGCTCCCCTTGGAGCTGTTGCCTGCATCTGGCCTGGGCTCTGCTTTCCCAGTGTGTGGGGGTCCCAGCCTGTGGGCCGAACGTCCTGCCAGGGTGGCCTGGAGGAGGCAGTGGGCAGGCTGGACAGAGGCCCTGGGTGGGAGTGCTCCTGCAGGCCAGGAACCATGGGTCTGGGGAGAAGGCGGAGGGGCGGAGGGGCGGTGGGCGGTGCCGGCCGGGACCCTCGGGCCCCGCCTCACATCCCCTTCTTGTTCCAGACGCGGTGGCCAGGGTTGGGCCCTGAGCCCCCTGAGAGGAGGCTGTGGAGACCACAAGGGCCCACGGGCACCATGAACGACGTGGCCATCGTGAAGGAGGGCTGGCTGCACAAGCGAGGTCAGTGGGCGCTGCCGGGCCAGGCCGCAGCCTGGGCCGGACGCTGGCCTTCCTGGTGGTGGGTGCTGGCAGGGCGGGTGCCACCCTGGCTTTCCTGGAATGTGGTGAGGACACGGCACCCGGGGGCAGGTGCGCTGGCAGCTGGGCACTCCCAAGGGCTCCCCGCGGCGGTGCAGGGCCATGCCACCTGAAGCTGGACTCTGGGGCTGCGGGCCCCTCCCACTGGGGCCCGGCCTGGGCCAGCCTGCACCCTCGGGAGCCCTGCAGCCCAGGGAAGGGCTTGGGACAGGCTCTTCTTCCATCTGTGCCCTCCTGCCCTAGGGTGGGCGCTGGCTAGCCCTTCCACGCCTCCTCTCCTGGAGCCCCACTCTTCTGGAAGTCCTGGTGGTTCCATGCCAGGGGCCCACCATGCCCTCCTGTGGATAGACCCCGTGTCTGTGTGGCGGGGAGCCCCAGGCACAGGTCAGACAGGGAGCTGTGGCAAAAGTGGGTGCTATGAAATAGGGTTTTTGTGGGATGTATAGGAGCTCCTCAGCAGAGTGGGCCTGGGAGCTGCAGGGGCTGGGAGGAAGCCAAGGGTGACAGAGACGAGACACCAGGGCCTCCAGAGGGCTAGAAGCCGGCATGGAGGATGTGGTCGGCTTGTACCTAGAGAGCCTAGTTTGGCAGCTGCCGGGAGGTGAGGCTGCAGCCTGTGGCCGTGGGGGCCGTGCTGGCCGCCCTCTTCCTGCCCGCCGGCCTCCTCCCTGGCTCCTGTCCAGCGCCGGCCCATCTTGGCCCCCGGGCCCAGGCCACACCTTCCCCGACTGGCTCACCTCACAGCCGGTGGTGCGGGGACCCCAGTCCCACTGGGCCTGTGGCTTCCCACTCTGCCGCACAGTCCGCTTCCTGGGCAGTTGCTGGTTGAGTGATGGGAAGAGGCCTGGCTTCGCTTCCGGGGTGTCTCGTCAGACCCTCTGTGACCGCCAGGCCCGGCAGGCTCCCCTGGGGCCTGGGAGTTTCAGGTTGCAGCTCCCAGTGCTCCCTCTGAGGCCTGGAGGCCACAGGACATCCGGCCCTGGGGTGTCCCGAGGGTGGGCTGGGTGGGGCCCTGTTGGGCCACTCTGTCCTGGTGGTGCCCTCCGGGGCAACGGTGGACAGCCTGGGGCCTCAGCGTCCCGATCCGCACAGTGGGGTGGGACCTGCCATCCCTCAGCACAGCCGAGGCCCAGCTGCCGGCCTCAGCTTCCCCGCCAGGGAGAGGCCCTGTCCCCATGCTTCCAGCCTCAGCACAGGTGGCCAGGTGTGGGCAGCCACCAGACAGGAGGTGGCGCCAGCATTCCTGCTGCTCGGCCTGGCCTGGGCCCCTGGTTTCCCTTCTTGGCCTCCGGGGCCCTCCCTGCCCTGCCCAGCCCAGTGGGCCACTCGTGCTCACTGCCCTCTTTGGCCTGCAGTGTCCCCTGGGGGCCCCACAGCATGCAGGCCGGGGCTGCTGGGACGTGCCAGCCTGTCTTCAGGGCCACTGGCTATGCCTTACCCTCCTCAGCTCCTGCAGGGTAGGGTGCTGCCCGAGGTGAGGGGCTGTCTCAGCTAGGGCTCCGCGGGACAGCCTGGGGCCTGGGCTGAGTCCAGGGACACAGCACCATCAGGACCACTTGGGCTGGCCCAGGCTGGGTGACCGTGCCTCGGGGCCACGAGGCCATGGAGATGAGCCAGTGAATGTTGTGTGTCGCGCACCCGGAGGGCGGTGCCCAGGCAGAACCTCTGCCGCAGGTGTCCTGGTCCTGTGCCCTCGGCCAGGCTTGCATAGTCCCCCGTGTCCCTGAGCCACACCGGAGCTGGCCCAGGAGAGAAGGACTCAGGGACAGGTAGGGATGTGGGCTCTGGCACAGGGCGATGTGCGGCTGCCGGCAGGAGGGACCCTGCGGATAGAGAGGGCTGGCCCCAGACACACGTGCCTGGCCGGGACCCTGCCTGCCAGTGGTCTCCTGCGTGGGTCTGCCAGGTGTGTGTGCCCGGGTGCGTGTTGGGGTGCCTGGGCCTTGGCTCAGCTGAACCCAGGAGAGCAGTGCACTGGCTGAGCCACCTGTGTCCTGCTGTGGACTCACCTGACCCCCGCCCTGGACATCTGAGAGCTTCGGGCCTGGAACCCTGGGCAGTGAGTCCCAGGCCGGGGCTGGCCGCTTGGTCGCCGTTGGTGCACCTTGGCTGTCCTCGAGGAGGGTGTGCTGAGTGTGGCAGCCCGGCCCCTGGCCCGCTGGTGGAGACAGGTGGTGGGGCCGGTGGGGTGGCTGTGGCCGAGGGCAGTGGTGCAGGGCCCAAGTTTCCTGTTTTGTGAGCATATTGAACTCTCCCTCTAAAAACAAACAACAAAAGAGGAAGCAGGCGGCCTTGTGCTGGGCACGGGGTCACTGTCGGCCCCAGCCTGGATCTGGGGCCCCTGAGCCTGGTGGCTCCCACGCGGGTACCGCTCCTGCCGCTATGTCCTAGTTGTCCATCCTGTCTGGCAGAGGTGTCCTTCGGTGGGGGCGGCTCCATGGGGTCATGGGGCAGTGGAGTGGGCACCGAGCCATGCGGCCCACCCAGCCGTGGGCCTGGCCCCATGCAGCCCTGTGCTACAGGGAGCCGAGGCCAGGGAAGGGCTGCACTGGGGTGGCTCCTGGCTCCCAGGAGAGACCGGTGGGCTGCATCAGGCTGGTTCCTAGAAGTGCTGGGGGTGCGGAGGGAGCTGGCTGGCTGGACTGGCACTCCCCCGTCTGGGCACACCCAGGCCAGGCGCGGCGCCAGCCCCCGGCCTCGGCCCTCCCACAGCTGGAGCTGCCCGGGGCCTCCCTGTGGTGATGGCAGAGGCCACAGCTCTGCCCGCCCCGCTCTCCCTGGCCAGACCTGGGCCGGCAGCTGGCGGAGGGCCCTGTTACAGCCGTGGCCCTGTCTGCTGGGGGCCACTCACCCCTCCGTGCTGCCTGTCCTCTGCTGCTGGACATGCTTCTCTTTGACCTTGGGAAATAACAGGTCTGTTCCTGCAGATGTTGGTGCTGGGCAGTGGGCTTCGCTGGTGACTCCTGCCACTCTGGGGTGTGGGTGGACCCTGGGGTGCTGGGTTTAGGTGGGCAGCGCTGCAGCCCCCTACAAGTGACATGTGGAGTGGGCCACCTGCCCGGGGCCTCAGCAGGGTGTCTGGTAGGGCTTCCTCCGGGGGAGCCTGCTGGCGACCCACACTGGGTCCTGCTAGGAACCCAGCTTGGTGGGAGTGGGCTGAGACCCCCTGGGTCCGGTGGTGCCCGGAGGTGCTGGCTGGGCGTCCTGCAGAGCAGACTCAGCACTGTGCTCAGGCTGCTGGCCCAGGGTGGCCCTGAGGCAGGGATCCTGGGGTGCAAGGCAGCTCTCGGGGAAGGTAGCACCTGTGCCCTGGGCCCCGGCCTCTTTGTCCTCTAGGTGTCTGCACGGGCCGGGGCTCGCGTGTGAGCAGCCCTACTGCCCTGCCTGCTCTGCCCCGGAGGAGCCTGGGCTCCTGTCCCCGCACAGGGTGGCACTGCCTGCTCACTTCCTGGCCGGTGCCCTCCCTGCCTCCCCTTATCCCACCAGGAACCCTGTCGCTGTCCCTGCTAGGGTGGGTTGGGCTGGGCTGAGGGCAGGCAGTGCTTCCCAGGTGCCGTGCTGTGTAGGCCTCCCGGGCCCCTCCCTCGTGTGACCTCCAGCCTGTCATAGGTCCCCTGCTGTCAGCAGCTGCTCCACACACAGAGCAGGTGAAGGGAGACCTGGTGTGGGCACAGAGCTTGGTGAAGGCAGAGCTGGCGGCTCGTGGGCTGGGGTGTGGCCACTGTGAGCTCTGAGCAGGACAGGCAGAGCCAGTGCCTGGGGGACTGGGCTACCAGGCTGGAGACTAGAAGCTGGGTGTGGGCACAGGAGGGGACCAACCACCCAGCACAGGCCACAGGGCTGAGTGGGAAGATGTGGGGGACACAGGATGCGGCAGCACTGGGCTTAGTGATAGACGTATAGGCTGGGTTTGTGGCGTGGTGGGGTCTGGCCAGGGTAGGGTGCTGGGCAGTGCCAAGGAGGAGGTGGCTGTAGGGAGGCAGCAGGGTGGGTGGGACGGAGCCTGCAGCTCCGACGGGTGTGGTAATGGGCAGGAGTGGTGCTGTCATCCTGGAGGCTGGAGCGCGGCCCCGATGGCACCCTGATGGCCCTGGGCCTCCCTGCACCCCCGGACCCTATGTGCCTTGGCCGGGCCTGCTTCAGGGCAGAGCCAGAGCTCTCAAAGAGCTGCATGAGTCCTGCAGCACCTGGGCCTGTGCTCGATCTCTGCTTCTGTGTGACCTCGAGTGAGCCCTTGTGGGAGACTCAGTTTCCCTGAGGAGCAGGTGGGCATAATGATCCTGCCCTCCCTGCTCCCAGGTGGGGGCTGTGGCCACCGTCGTGTGGCTCCTGCCCGCCCTGTGCTGACCTCACTGGTTCCTGGTCTATTGGTGGCCTGCACCTGCTCGAGTTGGGGATGTAGGGACCTGAGGCCCAGGCAGAAGCACGATGGACAGCTGGGTCTTGGAGGTGACTGTGCTGCCTGCTGCCCACCGGCCCCAAGGGCCACCATCCTCACTGTGTGCGTGCGTGCTCAATGTGCTGGAGAAGGTAAATGGGCGCCCAGCAGCTGTCGAGCACGATGGATGTGGCAGCAGCGGGGGACTGTGCAGGCGCCGTTGTCAGCTGGTGCCTGCTCCACGGGCCTGCTGGGGCTCACTTTGCTGTGGAGAAACAGCTCGGTGCCGCCTGGCGCCCCGCCAGCTGCCGCCTGCCACTGCACCAGCGTGCAGCAGTGTTTACCCAGCAGTTTCCAGAGAGCCGGGACGTGGGGTGTTTGTGGCACTTGGGATGTGGGGGCTGGGTGCTGTGGCTCAGAGGGGCCTGCACTCCTGCCGCCTGGGGGGAGCCCAAGGACGGATGTGTGATGGTGCTGCATGGGCACCCTGACCTACAGCCGGCCTAGCACTGGCCATGAGGCCCCACCAATGGTGCTTTGGCCACTGGGCCCTCCTGGGGGGCCCTGCTAGAACCCCAGCATCCAGCCCAGGAGGGACTGCCTGGAGGGACCCCTGCCCTTCCCGGGGATGGCTGGGGACCCAATCAGGTTGACCACAGGGATGCATATGGGCCACAGGCTGGGGCAGAGGGCCTGGGTCAGCTGCCCACCCTGCAGCTCTGGGTGGAGGCGGGGCCCCAACCCCAGGGGCTGGAAGGACCTAGTCCTGGAGTGGTGGACAGGGCGGGAGCCCAGAAGCGGGGACAGACAGTGCCCACCGCTGCCAGCCTGAGGTGCGGACATGGGTCCTCACAGCCGCCGCACTTTTCGGGGAGCTGTGCCCATGCTCATGTCAGGGTTGGGCCGAGCAGGGGGTGTGAGCCTCCAGCTGGGTGCCCACTGTGGCTGCCTCGGATCATCCTGCTTGTGGAGTGTGCCTCTGGCCTCGGGGAGCAGTGGGGACCTGTGGAGGGGCAGTGTCCTGGGAGGTTGACTTGGCTCTGTCCTCTGGAAGAGTGTGGCCCTGTGAGGGCACTTGGGTGCAGGCTGGGTCCTGGGGTTCCCATGTGGCTCTGCGTCGCTGAAGGATAGGATGGAAGGGTGGCCAGCTCCAGGACTTGGCTTGCCCCAGGGTAAGGAGTCAGGTCAGAGTGGTGTGCCTCTGAGATGCTTACACAAAAGGGAGCCTCAAGGACCAGTCTCTTCCTGCCTATCCCACCCGCCTCGACCCCAAGGGTGGGCATGTGCCCCCCACAAGCCCTCTGTGGCTGCCCCCTTGACTTATCCCCCAGGGTCTCCCCATCCTGGTGAGGACGGGGCCCAGGGCTGTAGTCCGGGCTGCCCGCCTGCCTCTCATCCTGTCTGGACTGAACTTGTTAAGATGCTACTCACGGCCCGGGCCATAGCTGCCCCCCACCACAGTGAGGGCCTGCCTGGCCCGGGACACGGAGATGAAGGAGGAGATTGTGTCTCCCAGCCTGGCCCGGGTGCAGGGCCCTGTTCTTCCTCTGGAGGGGTCTGGGTGCCAGGCCCACAGGCAAAGAGAGGGCGAGGCCTCTTCCAACGCTTCTCTTGGGGGGACTGAGCTCCTCCCAGTGAGGGCTACCTTTAGCCTGCACCCCCAGGTCCTGCTCCCAGAATGGCTTGTGCTGGGGCCGAGCCGGCAGGGCAGGAGCTGGGAGGATGCTGCTGTAGGGCCAGGTTGGAATTGGTTGGGCGGCTGAGTGCTGGGTGTGGTGGGAGGGGGCCCGCGGGGCGGCGGGGGGGCGGCAGTTGGTGGAGCAAGATGGATTTCCGGGGCGTGCGGGTGCGCTGCTCATCAGCCGCCCCGCTCGGTTAGTGTCCCGGGGAGCGGCAGCTGGCGAGATGGGAGGCACTCCATCAGGGGCCGACAGCTCCAGACTGGCACCGGCGGGTGGGCACACGGGGTGGGTGGGTGCCCCCTGCCCGCTCTGCTCCCTCCACTTCCTGCCCATGCTGTGCTGCCAGGCCCTGCATCCGGGCTGGGGGCTGGGTGGGGCCTTGCGGTGCGAGGCCAGGGCTGGAGTCCACGGCCTGCGCTGCCGACTGCCTGAAGCCCTGGGGTCCCCAGGGTGTGGGACCCTGCGCTGTGCCCTGGGAGAGGGGCAGATGGCGACCCTCCTTCTCGAGGGTTGGTGCTGGCTGATGGTCCAAGGCCCCCAGTGGCCCTGGGATCCAGGGTTAGGTTAGGTGCCCTGGCGGCCACAGGTGAGCTGTGGGCCAGCACCGAGGGGCTATCCCCTCCGAAGGACCCCTGCAGCGCTCACACACGTCTCGGGCGGCCCAGACCAGGAAACCTTCCTGCTGGTGTCTGGGGCCGGGGTGGTGGCCTGGGCTGGGCTCTGGCCACCCTCTGCCAAGCCTGCCCCACGCCCACCCGGAGCCCCACACGCACACTTGGCCCTGCTAGGGCAGGCGCTTCCATCCCCTGTGCACCTCCCAGTGGGCAGGGTGGCACGGGGTGAAGACAGTTTGGTTGGAGGATGGGGTGGTGGGCTTGGGAGGAGCCTCTGTGGCCTGCAGCCTGGGAGGAGGGCGGAGCCAAGGCTCTGAGGGCTCGAGACTGGGTCCCCTGGACACCAGCATGTGGAGTGGCCTGCAGGAGGGCCGTAGGTGGAGAAGCATGGCCAGGCCTCCTGGGCTGTAGGAAGTTGAGGTGCTGCCTGTCCCCGCAGCCCGGGCACCTCGGAAGCAGTGCCTGCCCCAGGCTCCTGACCGGGGACCCACTCTGTGCTCTGGGGGGCTGTAGTGTGCGTGCCTCACCCCGAGGGACCACGCCATTGCTGTCTGCTTGTCCCTCCAGGTGCCCTCCAGGGCTAGGCGTGGCGGAGGACCTGGCCCCTGCGCAGGGCCTCAGCCCTGTGGGCTGGTCCCACCCCACCCTCTGCTCAGTGTCCCCTCAGATGAAGAAATTGCCTGATTAGTAAGTTCCCTGTTCAGACTCCTTGCTCGGCAAAATGTAAATGAAACATTTTTTCCGGGTGTCAGTATGAAAAATGACAGTTGCTCGGAGATCACAGAGGACATCTGCTCTGGTCCCCACTCATGAGCGCCTGTTTATGGCTGATGTTGCAAACTGGAGGGAGACCATTGCTGTGTACCTGGGTGACCCAGGGCAGGTCTTGGTGCCCAGCTGCGGGAGCCTCCCAGGTCTGCCCCACAGGCCCCAAGTGGCACCCAGAGCCTAGGGCCGGCAGGGCTGTCCCAGGTGGGGTTGCCATCCTGTGGCCCAGCCCTGGCCAGCTGCGGACATGCCTGTATCAGCCACACGTCCCCCGCCCCGCCACACAGCAGGCTCCCTCCTCAGCCAGGGACCAGCAGCCACCACCTGCTGGCCTCAGGTGCCTGGGCAGAGCTCTCATCCTGAGCCCTGACGGTGTAGCTGGGCCCTCTGGGTGCCTGTCTCCCCGGAGCACCTCTGTCGACCCGCACAGACAGTATGCTTAGCACACAGCCTCCTGCCCGCCCACAGGGGAGTACATCAAGACCTGGCGGCCACGCTACTTCCTCCTCAAGAACGATGGCACCTTCATCGGCTACAAGGAGCGGCCACAGGACGTGGACCAGCGTGAGTCCCCTCTCAACAACTTCTCCGTGGCGCGTAAGTGTCCTCTTGGATGCCCTGGGTTGGAGGGGGATGGTGATGGTGGGCAGGGATGGCTGGAGCCCTCTGTGCGGGCCAGGCCCCTGCTGAGGTCCCATTTGGCCTGTGTCCTGGGGAGCAGGTTGGGCGGTGCCAGCTCCTGGGTCACCTCCAGGCCTTCATGGTCAGCTCAGGCATGGCCACCATCGCACTGTCCCCTGGGGCTCTTGTTTGGAAGCTGGAGGCTCTGGGACATGGGGCTAAATGGGGCCCACCAGGTCTCTCTTGGGGACCCCCGGGCAGGGCAGGAGGGGTGGGGGCTTCCAGCTCCCACAGCCTCTGCCACCCCCAGGAAGAATCGGGGCTTCTCCTTTGAAGGCTCCCTGAGTCCCCCATATCTGTGGGGTCCCTTTGCCTCCCTTACGGTGGGCAAGGGCCGTAGGCATCCAGGAAGCCCTGCTCATGTGGGCCTGGCTGGCAGGATGCTGAATCCTTGTTCTCTGCCACCACTGTAGGCCAGCTCACCTAGGGGTTGGCCCAGAACAGGCCCAAGGGTACAGGGGTGACCGAGTGTTGATAGGGCTCCGCTGTGGGGCATCTGGGGAGGGGGGCTGGCCAAGGTCAGGACTCGGGTTGGCCTGAGGCTGTAGTCTGGGGGTGTAGTGCAGTGCCCACCGTGGCTTGGTCCTGGGTTGCACCCTGGGACCTGGGGTCCTCTGGCTCCCCCAGTCTCACTGGCCTGAGGGTTCTGGCCCCAGCCAGAACCGGTGGGACCCAGGCTGGGTATGCAAGGACCTAGCCTCAGCACTTGAGGACAGGAAGAGGAGTGGGGATGGTTCTGGCACCCTGGGTGCACCGGCACCAACCCCGAGTGTCCCCAGCCTGTGCTCTGAGGAGGAGGACATAGCACTGCTAGCCCCGGGGACCCAGGTGGGAGGAGCAGACTCTGCCCTATGAGGCCAGGCTGAGGGCTTCCCGGGGGCTTTACCTTGACCTGGTTCCTCTGAACCCCGAGTTCCTCCTCCGAGGTTCCTGCAGCCTGAGGCCCCACAGCGGCAGAGCGATCTGACAGTCGGGGGGCCCCCAGGACGCGTGAGACCAGGGAGGCAGACACAAGGCCCCTGGGAGCCTCCACCTAAGCTCTCTCCAGCGTCTCCACGGTCAGAGCCAGGGCCTTCGTGGCAGCAGAGGGGGCCTTGCTGGGGGAGGCACCGGGCTTGTGCCCCAGCGGAAGTGTGGTGGGCAGGGGCAGGAGGCAGGCACTCTAGAGGTGCACGGCAGGGGCCATGGGCTGCAGGAGACAGGTGGTGGCACCGGCCAGGGAGTGGGCTTGGGGTGGGATGGGCTGGGTGTGCTGGGCCTCTGTGACCAGGGGCTTTTTCCAGGGTGGGTTCTGGTGTGTGTGGGGCCAAAGCCCCAGCCCCTCTGGGCATGGCGCCCCATCTGGTGGCTTCCAGTGGACTGTCCTGGAGGAAACAGGAGGCTCCGTGCCACACAAGGGCAGGCAGGTTTTCCACTCTCCCATGCCTGTTGACACAGGCCCTCCCCACAGAGCTGGGCCCCCAGTGGAGCCCAGCCAGGCCCTCACGTTGCCAGGGCCTGGGTGCTGGAATGTGGGAGGCCCCTCTGCTGGCCCCTCAGCCCTGTCTGCCTCACTCCAAGCCCTGCCCAGAGCCCTCTCTGCACAGATGACTCACACTCCTCAAGGGTGCTTTGTCCTCACCATCAATCCACTGTGGGGGGTGTGCTGCAGGTGTGCATGAGCCCCAGGGTTGTGTGGGCCCCAGGTATGCATGTTGCAGTATACATGTATCACAGGTGTGTGTATGTTCCAGCTTGCACGTGTCCCAGGTGTGCATGTGTTGCAGGCATGCATATGCTCTGGGTGTGTATATTGCAGGTGTGTATGTGTTGCTGGTGTGTGTGCTCAAGGAGGATGTTCTGCAGCTGTGTAGCTACTCCTGTGTGCTACAGGTGTTCCTGCTGTAGGTGTATGTGCTCCAGTGTCTGTGCTTCAGGTGTGCATGTGCTCTAGACATATGTGTTCTCTAGACGCTCCAGCTTGACTTGGAAAAGCTGCAGACATTCATGTACCAGGTGGGATGGGCAGGTTGCATCCCAGCCCTGCTCCGGAACCTCAATGCCCCCCACTCTCCAAGGCCTAGCATGAGATGGGGGCTCACAGACAAAGGCAGGAAGTGCTGTGGGAGGGGGTCCCTCTTGGGGATGCCTCTCAGCTCCAGGGCAAGGCATCCCAGCTGCAGCAGGGCCCGGCCCTGTTTATGAGGGATCCAGCCTTGGAGAGGGGCTGGGATGTTCTGGGACCAGGTGAGGTTCTGTAGGGACAAGCCTGGTGCAGCCAGGACTGTGGGGTGTGTGTTGAGGAGGCAGATGCAGATGGTGCCCCCTGGCCCCGTCCTCAGAATGCCAGCTGATGAAGACGGAGCGGCCCAGGCCCAACACCTTCATCATCCGCTGCCTGCAGTGGACCACGGTCATTGAGCGCACTTTCCACGTGGAGACGCCAGAGGAGCGGTGCGAAGGGTGGGGTGTGGATGGCTGCGGGCAGTAGCCACGGAGGTGGCGGGCAGGGCTACGGAGCCTGCTGCTTGTGGCCATCCTTGGTCCATTCTAGAAAGTAGCCCTGTCCGACCTTGCGGTTTGGGTGGCTGGAAAAACTGAAGCTGGAGGTGAAAACAGGGTGGGTTGGGTGCCATGCTGCTGGGGTTGGAGCTCCATGTCCCCAGCATCTGGGCGTTTTCAGACTGTGTGTGTGGAGGCCAGGCTCTGGGTGGCCGCTGGGGCCTCTGTCTGGGGTTGCTGGGCCAGCCACAGACGAAGGGGACTCAGCCGACGCTCTGTAGGGAGGAGTGGACAACAGCCATCCAGACAGTGGCCGATGGGCTCAAGAGGCAGGAGGAGGAGCTGATGGAGTTTCAGTCAGGCTCACCCAGCGACAACTCGGGGGCCGAGGAGATGGAGGTGTCTCTGGCCAAGCCCAAGCACCGTGTGGTAAAGCTTGGGCCCGCTGGGGGTCGGGGTCCTCACCCAGCTTCCTGGGTGTGGCCTGGGTCTGAGGCCCGGGGGTCACTAGCATCCTTACTGACCCTGCAGGCCTGCAGGTGACTCAGGCCCTGCCTGCACCCTGCCTCCCAGGCTGCTGCGCTTGACACTCTGGGTTTCAGGCAGCTGTGGGACACAGGGGCCCTGACCAGCGCTCCTGCTGCCCACAGACCATGAATGAGTTTGAATACCTGAAGCTGCTGGGCAAGGGCACCTTTGGGAAAGTGATCCTGGTGAAGGAGAAGGCCACGGGCCGCTACTACGCCATGAAGATCCTAAAGAAGGAGGTCATCGTGGCCAAGGTACGCGGGCAGGCAGGGTGGGGGTGCGGGGCAGGGCGACAGCACTCACTGGTCCCACCTTCCAGGATGAGGTGGCCCACACACTCACTGAGAACCGCGTCCTGCAGAACTCCAGGCATCCCTTCCTCACGGTGAGTGGGGCCACTCACGCCCAGCCCTTGTGGGGCTTTGTACGTGGCCCGTGGCGGGCTGGGCATGATGGGGCCGGCTGCGGGCTGCAGGCTGCACAAGCGGGCCTGGTGACCTTGGCCTCCACCCACTCTGCCAAGGGCCCGGAAGACCCGCACCTCTTCAAAACCGCCTTCCAGGCTTACCGGGTGGGCCCCAGTCAGGAGGGGCGTGTGCTGGGTGCCCCATCCCAAGGGAGGGCCCAGTCCAGCCAGTCACTTAGCCCCAGGGTCAGCACTTGCGGGTGACCAGCCATTGGCGGCCTTCTGAGAGGTAAAGGTGGCCAGGCAGCTCAGCGCGTCTGGGTGGATGCTCTTAGCCGGCACTTGACTTGCCTTCAGCTCTGCTGGCCCCGGCGTCTGGCACGTTATCTGCCGGTGAAGTCCTGGTGGGCCCCTGGGTCTTAACCCAGACCCTGTAGCTCACCCATAGAACGTGCCTCGGTGCTTGTGGGTCACCTGGCACTGGTGGGCACGTGGCCTCCATCTGTCTGTGCCCTGAGGTCCTCGGCTCCAGCTGTGCTCCCTTCCAGGCCCTGAAGTACTCCTTCCAGACCCATGACCGCCTCTGCTTTGTCATGGAGTACGCCAACGGGGGCGAGGTAGGCAGGGTGCAGCCCGAGGGCACCTGTCCACGGGTGGGCTCGTCGGGGACACAGGTGCTCTGTCCCGAGTAGGGGTCTCTGGGGTCTGTAGGACCTCCAGACCCTGGGCCTCCTGGGCTGGCCCCACTGTGCCCTGCCTGCAGGTGGCAGGGAGCCCTCCACCTGTGGCCCCTCAGTGTCCCCTCCCACAGCTCTTCTTCCACCTGTCCCGTGAGCGTGTGTTCTCCGAGGACCGGGCCCGCTTCTACGGTGCGGAGATTGTGTCGGCCTTGGACTACCTGCACTCTGAGAAGAACGTGGTGTACCGAGACCTCAAGGTGGGACCCCAAGGTGTGCCACCGGAGTGAGCTTGTGGTCGGCGGGGACCGGGCCGGCAGTGCTGACCCCAGGCCTCCCCACAGCTGGAGAACCTCATGCTGGACAAGGATGGGCACATCAAGATCACGGACTTTGGGCTGTGCAAGGAGGGCATCAAGGACGGCGCCACCATGAAGACCTTCTGCGGGACGCCTGAGTACCTGGCCCCTGAGGTGCGTCACCCACTGGGCCACCCATGCCCTGCTGCCCTGTGCCACAGTGCGCTGTGACACTGAGTCCCCGGGCAGGTGCTGGAGGACAACGACTACGGCCGCGCAGTGGACTGGTGGGGGCTGGGCGTGGTCATGTACGAGATGATGTGCGGCCGCCTGCCCTTCTACAACCAGGACCACGAGAAGCTGTTCGAGCTCATCCTCATGGAGGAGATCCGCTTCCCACGCACGCTTGGCCCCGAGGCCAAGTCCCTACTCTCGGGACTGCTCAAGAAGGACCCCAAGCAGAGGTGTGGCCCCTGCCCCGCACACCCAGGAGGGCGGGGCCGGGCCAGTGCTGAGCCAGCTGTGTCCCCGCAGGCTCGGCGGGGGCTCTGAGGACGCCAAGGAGATCATGCAGCACCGCTTCTTCGCCAGCATCATGTGGCAGGATGTGTATGAGAAGAAGGTGCAGGCCGAGCCCCCCTGCGCCGCACGTCCTCCCCTGCGCCGCACGCCCTCGCCACACTGAGCCCCAGCCAGCCCGCTGGGCCGCACGGTGGCATGCATGCTTGCCCTCGCCAGCACACGCACAGACACGGGAGCCAGAGAGCACCCTGGTGGCCCCTGCCAGGGAGCCCTCACCTGCACCCCATTGCCTGTGCTCACCTGCAGGGGTCCTGGAGCTGGCCCAGGCCTCCCTCCCTCCTTCCTCCCCGAGGAGCTGGGCCCCAACGCACCCCATCCACCTAGGCCATGTGGGAAGCTTGTGGGCGTGGGGAGGGTGCCGGTCTGCTCTCTGCCAGTGGTGGGTGCACCTTGCTCTTGGCCTTGAGGGGCCTGGTCTGCCCAGTGGGTACTGGGTGCCCTGGCACTGAGCCGTCTTTCGCTGGTGTCTCCCTGAGTACCCATTGCAGGCCGCAGTAGCCAGCAGGCCCCCCGGCCCTTGCCCAGCTTCCTGTCCCCTTCTGGCTCTGCCCTTGAGGGTAGAGAGCGTAGACAGTCTCCCCTCCTGCCCAGCCCTGACCAGGGAGCCTGCGAGTCCACTGGGGCAGCACTGATCCCCAAACCAGACTCCAGGATGATGTCTGGGATTCTTCGCCTGTGGACCCTAAGGGGCAGTCTGAGGCTGCTTCCTCCAAGAGATTTGTCCTTCCCCGGGCTTCTGGAGGATGAGCTTGAGAAGAGGGGAAGCCCCCGTTGTCCCTGTACCTCTGGGTCAGCCCCTCCCGGACCCCTTCCCAAGGAGGCAGTCACACTGGGGTCCTGGGGTCCCAGGTCCCCTCCCGCCTGGCACACTGCCCGCTGCCAGATTGGCTCACCCTGTGCGAGGAACACGAGGGGCTCCTGTGTCGGGGTTGGGGTCCTCCCTCCACCTGAGGGGCTGTGAGTGGAGCTCCCCCGCCCTGCCCACCCCAACTCCTCCCCGGAACTCCTCCCAGACGGCCCTGGAGTGCAGGCACTGAGGGGCTGTCCCCTGAGTTGGGGCACACGGGGGTGTGGGACAAGGTCTGTAACCAGCCTTTGCTGTGCCTCCTGCAGCTCAGCCCGCCCTTCAAGCCGCAGGTCACCTCGGAGACCGACACCAGGTATTTTGATGAAGAGTTCACAGCCCAAATGATCACCATCACGCCGCCCGACCAAGGTGAGGGGCTACCCCCGCACACCTGCTCTGGTGGCTTCGGACGCTTTACAGTCTAGATTGTGGTGGCAGTGGTGGGGCGGGTGTCAGTGTTCTGAGGGCTGGCATCATTGCACCCGGGCTGCAGCGCTGCCTCGGTTTCCCCTGAGCCATGTCTCGCCCTGCAGATGACAACATGGAATGTGTGGACAGCGAGCGGAGGCCGCACTTCCCACAGTTCTCCTACTCAGCCAGTGGCACAGCCTGAAGCGCCCTCAGCAGAGCCTCGGCAGCTGCATCTGGCACGTGTTGGAAGCCTCGAACAGATGACCTGCATTTGATGGCTGATTTCTCAAATGCTTTGGGAGGAGCCTCCCAGATGGAGGACATTCTTGCTGGAACAGTGTGCTGCCACCTGGCCAGGTCAAGAGAAATATTGTCCTGCAGTTTCTCTTAATTTATTTCATCCAATCTGTTCTCCAAATGTGGCCTCAGCCCTCTGAACAATTACACTCGTAGGAAATGTCAAAGACCTCTGCAGCCCTTGCAGTGTGGGGCCGGCGGGTCTGGGCACATCTTGCACTGCCCCGGCTGGCCATGCATCCAGCTGCCACCCACCCCAGGTCCAGGGCTGGGCCTGCCTGCGGCACCTGGGCAGCTTCACTGGGCACACTGGCTGGCACCCCGTCTGCAGGTGGGGCACAGGCAGCCCCTGCACTGGGGCCATGCCTCTGAGGACATCCTCGGAGCTTCCCCCAGATGGGCCGGGATGGGATGGGATGGGACGGGACGAGGTGGGCCAGGGTTCGCCTGCAGGATGGAGATGCAAGGTCTCAGTCTAATGCCGTGTACCTTGCCATTCCCGGCCTTTGGGGGTGTAATCTCAGTGACAGGAAGCCCCTCCCTACCCCTTGCCTTGGATGATTTCTGCCTCCACACTTGTCCTGAGCTTCACCTCTGACCCTCTCGCCTGGCCCTCCCTGTCCTGGCCAGATTTGGCTGCTGCTGCACCATGCCATTTTTTACAACATTGAACTTTAGCATTTTTACTATTATAATATGAAACGTTCCCTCCAAATCTTCAATAAAAATTGCTTTTCAAGTTTGTGGCTGGCTTTGCTGGGTGTTGTGGGCTAAAGGGCCGTGGCCAGGGCCTGTGCTGAGGCTGGCCTCGTTCTGAGGCAGGGGCAGCCTCCAGGACACCCCTGTGGGGAGAGGAGGCAGCTGCCTGGGCTGGGAAAGGAGCGAGACCCTGGCCACCGGGAAGGACTGGACATGGCAGGGCCCAGCGCTGTGAGGGGAACAGCTGGGGCCCAGATCCCCCCAGAGCACCTGGAACCAGCCGCCTGCAGGATGCACAGCTGGCGCCCCCTGGTGGTACTGCTCTGGGCCAGGCGGGGCGCAACTGGTCAGGGACTGCAGAGCGGGGGCCAGGGCCTATTGGTAATGGGATCCACTCTGTGCAGGGTGGACAAGGTGGGTGCTGTCCCATTCCCACTGGGCAGACAGGGTGACATTCTGGACCTTCAGGGGCAGCTGAGGTCTCTGGGTGTCCCTGATCCGCAGTTCTGACAGGCTGTGTGTTACAAGCCACCCCGCTGACGCCTTACACAGCTTTGCTGGAGAACATACGTGCAGCGCTACACACTCACGATGCTTTGGAGAGGAGGCATCCAGACTTCACATCATACAAAACGAGCATGGCAGAAACCAGAACATGCAACGGCCTTCCATTATCCTCCAACCGTGAGCATACCTCACTGAAAAAGTGACTGACCGAAGGGGGAAATGGAGACACAGCTGGAGCCAGGGATGGACCTGGTGCTGGAGAGCCAGAGCTGCCCCTTCCCAAGAGCCCTTGGGGCCCTTTCTACAGTCCAGAGCCCCAGGGATGGATGCAGGGACGGGACGAAGAGCCTCTGAGCCCACCCCAACCTTCCCACTGCTCAGATGGAATGGTCCGCAGCAGAGGGGCAGCCAAGGAGGCCGCAGTGGGGCTCTGCCAGACGAAGCTCCTTCCCGTGCCCAGTGCACCCACAGCCTACTCTTCCCAGCACCGGGCAGGCTTGGAAGACAGGAAGACACAAGTGGCTTTGGCCCTGGCCCTTCCCATGCTTCAGCGGGTGCAGCAGTCAGCTCCGCGGGTCCGGGTAACATGGATGATCAGCATGCTGGGAGGCACTGAAGGCTGTGCCTGCTCTCCCAGGTAAGGCCCCTGCCAGGGGCCCTTGCTCAGAGTCTGGGCTCATCACTCGGCAGAGGCTTGCTTATTCCACCCTGTTCTTGTGACTCATTTCTTTAGAGTGAATTTCTTGTAGACAGCATATAGTTGAGTCTTACCTTTTTGTTTTAAAAAAAAGGCCTCTGGCCAGCAGGGAGGTATTCGGACGGCACAGTGGCAGGGCCGGTGGTGTGGCTGAGCTGGCACACACCGCCTTCTCCACTTCTGCCCCACGTCTGCCTCCTTTCGGGTTAAATGTGTCTTTTTTGTTTTGGTTTGGTTTTTTTGGTACCGGGGATTGAACTCGGGACCTTGTGCTTGCAAGGCAGGTGGCAGAAACACTGAGCTAAATCCCAGGCCTTTAAATGTGTCTTTTAAATCTTCCCATTTTATTTCCTTTATTGGCTCATTTGCCTGGGTTTCATGAGCTTCCCACAAATGCTGTCTTTTTATTCCAGGGTACCATGTTGCATTTAAATATTTTAAAAATGAATGGCTCTCCAGCCTGGTGGCTTCAGGCTTTATGCTATCTTTGTCATAGCCCACCTTCAAGTGGTGTAAGAGAGCCTGAAAGCAGTCCACTTTGATTTCTCCTTTCTCAGCCTTGGGATTGTCATAAATTTTGTTTCCAAACATGGCATAAACCTCCAAATAGTGTCATCATTTTTGCTTTGAATAGTTGTTTCACGCTATTTTACTGTGGTAAAATATGTGTGCATTTCGCCACTCGCCGTTTTTAGGTGAACAGTCGGTGGCATTACACACCTTCGTGTGCTGTCCGACCACTGTCCTGTTGAGAACTTGGCCTCTCCAAATGAAAGCTGCACTGTTGAGTGGGGCTCTCCATCCCTGCTGGCCCCAGCCCCTGGTCCCCGCCCATGCTTCCCATCCCCACAGCTCTGGTTGCTTGGCTGCCTCACCCGGGTGAGGTCTTCTGTGTCTGGCTCTTTCACTGAGTGTTCTCCTTCAGGTCCATCTATGTCGCTGTGTGGGTCAGAGCTTTCTTTCTGAGGGCAGTCACGTTCCACTGTGTTGACAGTAGGCTTTGCACATCCTGCTGTGCTGGACATCTGGGTTGTCCCTACCCGCTGGCTACTAGGAATAGAGCTGCCATGAACACTAGTGTGCAGTAAATATATATACGCCAGCCCCGACTGTGTACTGTTATTTCTTTGGTGACACGCCCCGACGCAGTCCTGCTGAGTCCCAGGCAGCGCTGTAGCTTCCTGAGGAACGGCCTCCTGCTCTCCACAGTGGAAACACCACATGACAGCCTCACCGTGGATGAGACCTGCAGCTTCCTGATGGGCATCTTCTCATGTACTATGGGGTGTCTGCATCCCTCCCATGGAGAAACGTCCAGTCCAGTCCTTTGCGCCTCTTCGAGCTGGGCTGGTGTTTATCGTTCAGTGTAGGAGTCCTTGATACACAGTCAGTAAAGGGTTGCCAGGGATATGAAGAAAACAGCCTTCACCGGACCCACACCCTGCCCATGCCACAGCTCTTCGGCCTCTGCACACATCTCCTTCCCATCTGCTGTCATCTTCCTTCTGCCTGGAAAGCTGCTTTCCACAGTTCTTGCAATTCTTCCAGCTTTGGCATGTCTGAAATGTCTTTATTTCACCTTCGCTTTTGTCAGACACTTTCAAGGGTCGAAGTTCACTTTCTGTCACTAACGATACAGCACCAGTCTGGCGGGGCATAGGAAAAGCGGTTCCCTCTGGCTACCAGCTCCAGCTCGAGGTGGAGGGGCCCTGTCTGGCGATGCCTCTCCCTGGCACAGTCCTGGGGCAGTGCAGGGTGACAGGTGGCCAAGTCAAGGAGCTTTCAGAGCACCCGCTGGCCACAGGAGGGTCGGTCCGCCCGCCTCAGTTACCAGCGCCTCTCACAAGGGGCTTGGAGGGGACAGGGTGTTTAAGCCAGGGTTGGGCGGAGAATCCTAGGAGGGTTCTCTTTCCCTTCTGGTTTCTTGAGAGGGTCTTGCTTTGGGGGAATCTGACCATGATGTGTCTTTCTGTGGCTTTCTCCATGCTTCTGTTTGGGGCTCAGTAGGTGTATGATTCCAGCAAATTTGGAAGCTTTACGGCAATTATACCTTCAAAACCCTTCCTGCACCCTCATACCCGCCCCACTCAGGCGCTAGACTGCCGGAAGCTGTCTCACCACTCACACTGCTCTGCTCAGGCCTCCCAAGTGCTGGGAGGGTTAAAAGCACACACTACTGTGCCCGGCTCTGCTCACTTCCTAGCCCGGCTTCTGGTTCCTTTTGGACTGTTTCTGTTGCTGTCTTCAGGGCGTAAATCTTCTGCAGTGATTAACCTTGCTTTTGATCTTGTCCAATGAACTTTCCTCTAGACTTCCGGCTTTCCTTCTCACTGTAAAGTGTATTTTCCTATTCTCTGCATGTTTGTTTTTACTAGACACCAGGTAGGTACGTTTTGTCTTATTGAGTATTAGGGTGAAACAAAATACCAGCAATGGCCTGGCTGTGAGGGACAGGGCAGCTGCTCCTGGATCCTGTGGCCCCTGCTGGTCTGATACCCTGCCGAGGACCCTGCCTGTGCCCCATGGAGGTGAGGCTCCCAGGCTTCCACTGCGAATGGACCTGCTTCCTGCTGTAATTTGTTTTTTTTTTTTTTGGTACCGGGGATCGAACTCTGGACCTTGTGCTTGCGAGGCAGGCGGCAGCACCACTGAGCTAAATCCCCGGCCCCCCTGCTGTATTCTTGATGCCCCTCTAGTGCAGGGCAGCATCCCCTCTGTGTTCGGTGTGCAAACTCAGGGCCCTGGCTCCGACCCTGTATGCCCTCAGCTTGGGCACGGAGCTTTGGGGCCCTTCCTGTCTTGTGGGCTGCTGCCCGGTCTGGCTGATTTGCCTTTTCTTACCTGTTTAAAGGCCAGCTGGGCTTCCAGCAAGTACCAGTGACAAACCTGTGCTCCAGGTGCTGTCCAGGCAGCACCCACCCTCCCAGACTGCTGCTGCAGCTGGTGGTGAGCCAGGCAGGCTGAGGAGTGAGGGTGGGAGCTGAGCCCCAGGGTGTGGGTGCTGCTCGAGACCAAGCCTAAGAGTGAGCCTTACAGCCACCCAGAGCAGAGCCCTGGCGAGGAAGGGACGCTGAGGCAGAAAGCCAGGGCTGGGCAGGCTGGGGGTGGGGGCAGGAGGGCTGAGGCTGCTGCCTGTCACTGGTAGGTAGGCACATGCGAGCCGGTAGAGCACAGCACGGAGGTGACACAGCTGGCTGCTGCCAAAATGGGGCTGAGCAGAGGAGCTGAGGGTGTGCTCAGGTGGGCGGCAGCCTGGGAGCAAGGCAGCGACGGCCGCGAGCACAGGGGTCTGGATCTGCAGGCAGAGACTGGGAGGCAGCTCTGGGCCTGAGGCCGGAGGAGAGGTGAGCCTGGCGGGAGCCGCCAGCACAAGGTGACATGGCTTGTTCCTGGTGCTTGTGGCACGGGACGCCGGTCAGCCAGTGCTCAAGCCAGCTACCCCAGGCCTCAGAATGCTTCGGGTGCAGACGACCCAGGCAAGAGCTACAACCCCATTCACACCCACACACACCTGCTGGACGTGGCCAAAGCCCATTCGGGACTGGCTTTCCTGAGAACCAGGTTGCCTGCCCCCGGACGCTGGCTGCCGTGCCCAGTGCCACAGTAGGGAAGGCTTTTTCTTGCTCCCTGCCCTCTGCCCCAAACCTGTCCTAGTCCCAGGCTTCATACTGGGAAGCAGGTCAACTGCCCACTGAGCCACTGGGAGGTCAGGGACCTACCTCCTTCAGGACAGGCCCCAGGGGCGCATGTGCGGGGCTCCACCTCCATCCTCCAGGGCCCTGGACTTCTCATCAGCTTGTCCCCAGGGCCTCCTGCAACCACAGCCACTCAAAATGGGGCAAGGACCTCCAGCCACCCAGCCTAGCCCAGACTCCTCCCCTGCCACACCAGAGCTCCTGGAAGCAGGGGCTGTCAAGTCAGCTGAGGCCCAGGCTACACAGGTACCAGGAAAGCACAGCAGACACCAGGCTGTGACAGCCAGGCGTGTGACAGCAGCATTTCAGGCACGGGTCAGGAACAATACCTGCCACGGGGCGGCCCAGCATGCTGCTGATGCCCTCGGGAGCCAGGTGCTGGCCCTGAGCAGGGCTCACTCTTGCTGGGCGGCACCAGGAGGAAGGGTGGGCCAGCAAGCAGGCCGCGTCCTTCCCGGGGGTGGCAGGTCAGCCCTGCCGCTCTGTCACCACCCCCCCCCCAGATGACACCCTCTGCCTGTGACGGGTTCCACACCTACACTGGTGACAGACAGGAGGCTGTGTGTGCAAATATAAAAGGCTTTATTCACTTCTGTCATCGAAGTATGAAACACACACACACACGAGCCACGCCCTCCTTCCTCCTGGTGGACGCGGCGGCCTCAGGCTTCAAACATGGCACAGCTGTTGCATAGCGCCTTCTCCCACACATCACTGCAGCTGCACGTGCAGGGGAGAGGGAAGAAACGTGTTAGGGCTGGCTGTCCCCTAGGGGCCACTGCTGTCCAAATCCAGGACACCTCCGGACACGCCCTCGTTTATAGACGGGCTCTTGTGACAAGGGTGGCTCAGGGCTGTTTTCCAACACTGGCTTGCTGGGGGCAGCTCAAAGATGCCCTGTGGCTCAGAAGTCTGGGCCTTTCCTCCTCTCCCTGGGTGAGCAAGTGTGATCAGACATGACGTCACCCGAAAACAGCAGCGTCTGTCCTAAAGAGACTGCCACTCGGGGAGGAGAACACGAGGACAAAGGGAGAACAAGCCCGTGGACAGGACGCCAAGGGCTCCTGGCAGCCAGCGTACGGCAGGAGGGCCGGGACCACACTCTCCTCAGCCTCTGGAGGCTACCACACTGCCGGCACCTGCCCTAGATGTCCAGCCTCTGCAAGTGTGACAGTGACTTTCTGCTGTCTACGCCATCCAGCCGGCCTGACCGGGATCTCAGAGACAGTGCCCCCAGGGAACGCCCAGGGATCTCCTAGAATCCACAGGGCTACACGGGGGCACAGGGATCAAGGCTCCACAGAGGGGCCAGGGATGTAGCTCAGCGGTTCCGCTGGCTGCTGCACAAGCACAAGGACCCAAGTTCAATCCCTGGTACCAAAAAAAAAAAAAAAAGACTCCAAAGGGAGCCCACCACTTCCAGGGAAGGACACATGCTGGCAACACACTGCCCAACCACAGCAGGGACACGCAGGCTGAGATGAGCAGAGTCAGAGCTGCTGGCTACAGCCCTGCACAGGAGCCAACAAAATGCCCTGGCAGCCGGCCTGTGAGCTGGGGGACAGCAGGAGCAGGGTACAGGGCCACCAGGTTGGGATGGTGGCGGCAGCTGGGCCGTGTTTCAGGTAATCACAGCCACGCTGAAAAAACCTCATTTCCTGACACTCACAGGGCTCTGGGTCCTAACCCAGGAAGCCAGGGTGTGTCTGGTGGGCAGGCCTAGCTCCCAAGCCTGGGACACCACTTCTGGCCAGCGACCTGGGCAAGCCACTTATTTGTAAAGCAGGGCAGAGAGCCAACCTCCTGGGCTGTGGCCATGAGAAGAGCATGTCACAAGGGACGTCAGGGTCCCCTGGACACCAGAGTTTGTCTGGGGAAGGAGCAGCAGAAAGCAGAGGCACATGGAAACCAGCATCAGGGAGGGCGGAAAACCCCGAACCCAGCTACAGGGGCCTGGAGGGAGCAGTCTCCTGGCAAGCACAAGTGCCAGGTTCAGCCAGCTGCAGGAGACACACGCGCAAACACAAACTGACTTGACTAAGCAAATGGCCCACTCCCCGATTAAGAAACGACTGATAGGGGCCAGGGATTTAGCTCAGTGGTTTCACCGCCTGTTGCACAAGGGGAAGGACCCGAGTTCGATCCCCAGTACCAAAAAAAAAAAGAAACAACTGATAACCCTATAAACAAGGCCGCACGTGGCCTAACTGAGTGCACACTTGCTGACCTGTGTCAGCCATTCCTCAGGCAACAAGCACAGTACAGGGAAAGCGGGTCCATGAGGAAGTCCTAAATGTGAAGGCAAGAAGAGCAAAGAGGTGTTTTAAGACAGGAGGCCCCAGAGAGAGTAGCTGGCTTATGAAATTTGGATCTCCTTTAGAAAAGATCATAAATCTTCAGAAAATAAAGGTGGGCAAAGCATCTTTAACCACTGTGTCCCATCCCATTAAGCAACAGTGCCAAGAGAGCACGCACTTGTCCCCTGCAGGGCATCCTAGGGCTCCTGGAGCACGCTGTGGGGAGGGACAGGAGGGATGGCCCACGACTTCAGAAGCTCCACAGACCAAGGCACTTACTCCACAAGGCCACACAGGGCACAAGCCACGGCACCGCAGCTCCAGCAGGTGCGCACACACTGGCCGCACACGGCCCGCTCACACTGGCCACAGACCACCTTCCCATCCACAGCTCGCACGCACGATGAGCAGGCACGGGACACTGCTCCGGAGAGGTCTGTGAGGAAGAAACATCAGGCTGTCAGCCCTGGAAGGAGGCTGGAAGGACATGGGGCTGCGGGACCACCTGTCTCTTTCCAAAAGTGACAGCACAGGGCCCCAATCCATCTACCACTGAGTCTTTTAGACGACCTGCGGCCAAGTACAGCACCTGACCCTGTTCAACTAGAAATACACAGTGAGACTCCAGGTCAGCACTGTGATCACTACCCAGCTCTTGCTACTGCTTTGGAACATCTCTGTCCCTCTCTGTGTCTCAAAGTATGCCCCACTGCGTCACTGCTTAACCAAAAGTTCCTAGACCCTCCCAGGACCATTGACCAGACCCAGGAATGAAGCTGGCAACTATTTTTAACCTGCCCCAGGGCCACAGAGCCACCCGGCCAATGTGCTCCCACCTACAAGGCCTGGGAACAGCAGGTGGGACACTGCCTCAGAGGCCTACAAAAGAGCCTTGATTCTTTTCTAACTCGAGAGTTAAAAGCTATTTAATAACCTCCAGACAACTGGAGGCTTCTCAACTTCCTGCCATTTGCTCAGTGTCAGATTCTGGGTGGGATTCCTGCTTGCCCTGGTAGGAAAAAGTCCCAAGCAGGCAGACCATCTTTCCACCATCGCCCTCAGTGCCATGGCCACAAATGTGGTTGGTGGCCACTTACCAGCTTTGGAGGCCTGGGCACAACTCCTGATCAGTCGCCCATTGGGTCCAATCAGCATCTGGCCCCTTGCAGATCGAGGGGTCTCTGTGGGACCTGGCTTTGGGGACTCTGGTAGATGGACAATGGCATAGCCCTCACCCCACACATGGTCTCTGCAGGCCTGGGCTCCATGGAAAAGCAGCTGCTTGGTCTTCTCTGGGGAACACACACCATTCATTAAGTTTACACTGTGCAGCCATGAAGGCCTCACACAGCCATTGCCCGACCCATGAGGTGGCACAACATGTGCCTGTCACCCCGGCCCACTCTGCCTCTCCATGCTGAAAACGCTCTTCCCTCCCAGGTTCACTTGGCTTAGCTGCCATCTGGCCCAGGTAGGTTCTGGATCCTGCAACCCTGCCTGTGCGCCATCCAGGGGCTGTCTCTACTGGTCCGCTCACTGGCCTCAATTCCCTGGACTTGCACCCCTTCCCTCCCCTGTATTCTCCCTCCTGCAAGTGGGAGAATCATGTAGAGGAAGCCCTGTACCCTGAAGCACTAGGAGCATTCATTATCAAAAGCAGCCAGAGGCTCAGAACTGTGCTTAGAACCCTAGGCCAGTGTGCCCTCCTTCTACCCACCGGAGGGACCTGCCAGCCACAACAGCTCCTGACCAAGGAATTCCAGAGTCTTCCAGGCCCTCTGGCCCCTGACACAAACCCGTGCCTGGGAGCTAAAGCAGCTGCTGGAAGCAGTGCTTTCCATCAGGCTTCATGAGGCACCTACGTGCCCTCACAAAAGCAAATGCCAGGTGCTAGCCCCAGCCATATTCAACCCGGCCAAGACCGAGATGCAAGATGCTGGGGCTCTGTGCGAACTCAGCAGCAGCAACAGCGGTGGAAACAGACTGGCTGAGGCCTGCCCGCTCCACCAGCCTTCCTGTCCCTACCTCCCCAGGCCGCAAGCCGGTGCTGTGAGGGACACGCCCCTGCAAAGCGCCAAGACGAGGGCAAGACAGAGACAGACACCTTCCCAACTCGACTTTATTCTTTCTGCCTACAGTGCTTATGTCTCTGAAGGCACAGTCTTGCAGGTCAGCCAGTCCCCAGGGCTGCCCTCACTTGATCACCTGCATGGCCTGGGAGCAGATCTGAGTTTGGAACACGGGCGCCCGGGGAGAGAGGGCACAGCAGCGGCACAGCCGGGGAAGGGGCGAAGAGGGCCTGGAGGTGCCTGTCTCTGACAGCTGGGCTCTCCCACGTCCCAAAGGCACAACAGCACCATTCACAAGCACCCCGGGTCATCGTGCATAAACCGCTAGATAAAGGAAGCTCTACTGTGCATCTGCCCGGGCAGGTCACCATGAAAGGAGGCTCAGTGACACCAATCCGTCTGGACTATGCGTGCGAAAGGCTCCCCCGCTTCCCCTGACCTCACCCCTCCGGCCGCAAGTGCTCCACAGCGCAGGACCGGCAGGGGCGGGGTGGGGACAGAGGAGGCGGCTCCAGGACACTAGCGCCCGCTGGGTAAGCCTGGAGCTGCCCCCGGCGGGAGGGCCCGAGGCGCCCGCACTCACCAAAGATCTCTCGCGAGTACCGCTCGCCACACACACCATGGCTGAGCTCCTTCAGGCCCACGCGGACTTTGAGCTGCAGCGGGGAAGCATCCGCAAAGGGGCAGCCCCGCTTGGGCATGGCCGCGGGGCCGAAGGACGCAGAGCGCCACACGCCGCGCGCGTATGCGAACGTCACAGCAGCGCGCCAACTGTCGGGCGCGGGATAGGCTGAGAAGACTTCGGAGGCGGGGCTCGTGCGAGCTGCGGCGCAGGATTGGTCGAGGCGAAGATTGGAGGTGGGACTCGGCGCCCGGGAAAAGCCAAGAGAGAGGCCGAAGGTCGGAAAGGAGTGGCAGGAAAGAGACAAGCCTTCCGCGCTGCTCAGAATAGGTTGGAGGTTAGATCTAGGCGGGACTTGTGGGCGTTGCGGCGCGGCCCCGAGCGGAATAGGCCGAGGCTGGGGCGGGGCGGGGCGGAGGAGTGTATGGGCTTTTGGGTCCGGCCGCCCCCGTGAGGCAGATCTGGTTCACGAGCCCGGAGTGTCAGGGCTTCACACGCGGTCCTGCCCTCAGCCGCGACAGACCCGGGCCGCTTCCGCTGGTCCTCGGCGTTGCCCACGTCTCCTCGTCCGCCCCCCCCAGACACTGCCTTCCCCGGGCGTCCGTGTTTAATGCGGTCGGGAGAAATGACATTTTATTGAGGGTGATCAAGGGCGTCATTGTCGGGCTTTCCTCGCACTTGGCCGGAAGTCGCTGCAGAGCCGCTGTCATCTCCAGCCCCGTCTTGCGGGGCGCCAGGTTTGCTCCTGGATGTTTACCGTGAGCCTTTCCCGTTCCTTCCTTATCCTGGCGACCCAGGGCCCGTGTCCCTCGCACAGAAAGCTGTTCACACTGGCAGGAGCCGGGTGGCTCTCGTCCGACCTGTGTCTAGATAACCCTGCCAAGGCAGCCACCCCCGGGAGCCTTGGCGCTGGGCCCGTGTGGATGTGTGGGTCAGGTGACAGGCCGAAGCTCACACAGCACACGAAACTGGAGTGCTTTTGTTTATTTGCCCAGGGCACTCTACCATTGAGCTCCATCCTCAGCCCTTTTGTAAATTCTTTAAAAAACGTTTTTTTTGAGACGCGGTCTCACCAAGTCACTAAATTGCCCAGGTGGAACTGGTGCTTGTGATGCTCCTGCCTCAGCCTCCCGGAGTGCTGGGATTACAGGCATGTGTCACTACACCTGCCTCCAAAGTGGTTTGTTACAGATCCAGGTGACAAGACCAGCAGGCCAGCTCTCCATGACACACCAGCTGGTAGGGGCAGAGACCTGAGGGCCTTTATTGGGGTCCTAGGGGTTACCCATGCAGGTGTCCATGGGAGTTCTAAGCTGGGCATTGGGCTGGCATCTGCCTCTTTGGAAGCTCTCTCTTCTTCCTTTCCTTGACATATTATGGAAGGATTCCCAGAAAACCCAAAGAACTGATCCTGCTGTTCTGTCCCACCCCAAGCCCTGTGCCATACACTGGACACCAAGCCCTTCCTGTTTTGCTGCCACCACGACATGCCCAAGTTTCCAACACACTGCATTTCATGCAGTCCTGGGCCTGCCTGCCCCTTTCTTTGGCCTCGAGGTACTTTACCAGTGGCAGCCAGCTCATGTGCAGGACAGGATTTCCTCTTAGGAAGCTGCACCAGGCACACTCTGGTCATGAAGCATGGTCATCTCTTAGGGCTGGAAAGCAGCAGGACAGAGTTGAGGCAAGCACGCAGCGGCTCCTGGACATTATTACAGCATGGCTTCAAATGGACACACTGTGTGACAATCAGTGTGTCACACAAGGCCTCTGTTTTGAGCACTGGGGCTCATTTTAAATGGCAGAATTTTAAAAACTGTACACAGAGCTGGCTTTCAGATGTTTAAAATCATTGTAGAATTCAATGGGTCAAGCTGAAAGCGTCAACAGAAAAACAGAAGTACAGAAAATAATTTTCAAATGTTTTGTTTCCAGTGTTGCTTGTGATGCCGAGGAACATGGCTGCAGCTGCTCCTGCAGGGATGGGGTGCATCTGTGGCCCGGGGCATCTGTTGGGTCTAGAACAGCTGGATCATTGACTCTCTGGACTTGCCAACACCGACCCATTTGACTGAAAGGGCAACAGAGAGTGGTCAAGGTGTACCCAGAGCACAGAGTCCGTAAACAAATGGAGTTTTGTGTAGTACGATTCACCTGGCAAAAAGGACTGTTATTCTCCAAATGGAAAGAGCTATAAAGTTTAAATGACAAAGGCAGTGCCCAAGGAGAGTTGTTGGAACGAAGCTGCAAGCAGCCCCTGGTCCCGCCCCTTGGATGAGCCACTGCCTGCACAGTCCAGTCTGTGGGCCAGTTGCACAGGGACAGGGTGCCTGCCACCCACCTTTTCACCTTCTGGGCAGTTACTGCTCCTGCCAAGGGAAGAGCAACCCCGTCTGGCTGGAGCTGCTGACCTGACAGTCCCTGGAAGGTACCCACTGTCCCAGCTCCAGTCCCCTTGCCCCTCACTGCCTGATGCCTTCAGGTGTTCAGCACACCTGCGGGTTCTCACTGCTCTCTATGCCCTGCACCGGAACCTGGGCCCAGGTGGTGTCCAGGGTGCAGGAAGGACTGTGGGGAAGGGGGACTAGCACCCACCTGCCACACCCACATGGTTCTCCACAAACCGCACGTAGTTCTGGGCCTGTGGGGGTAGGTCTTCCCACTTCCTGGCACCTGTGGTGTCCGCTTTCCAGCCAGGTAGTGTCTCGTACTCTACCTCGACCTTCTGGAGTATCTCCTGGTTAGCTGGGGGGGTCACACAGGAGTGAGCAGAATCCCACAGACCGTCCACCACAGGGAAGTGTTCCTGACACAACACTTGGCAGACTGGAAGCCAGCAAAGGCGAGGGACATCCTGGGTTTTCTTGGTGTTTGCCAGTGAATCAGGAGTGCTCAGGGTCTGAGCTTCCAGACCCGGGGCACACAGACCCACACACGTGTTCTCCAAGTGTTCTTGGCGACGTCAGGCTCTGCTTGGGAACCAACCCTAGGAGATTCTAGAGTCCTACAGCATTAAGGTACAGGCACCCTTGAGGACATGCCTCCTGGGCAAGGACCCCTGTGCCATGCTGACCACCCCTGCTGGTGGGAAGTCCCGGAACAAGCAGCCCCCCATGAAGGGTCTGCCTCGGGCATGCCCCATGTGCAAAGCCATGGGGACCACCAGGAGGAGACCAGGTCTCCATGGTGTATCCTCTCCAAGACCAGGGTCAGTAGGGACCCCCGAGGGTTCACATGGCTCTCACACCAAAGGGGCACCTCTGGGTCTACCCAGATCTCCATGCAGGTGCTAAGCAAGGGAAATGATGTCCACAGCTGCTGGAGAAGTAGCTGTCAGGGGAGCAGGTCAGTTGCACCCATGGTGTGACATCAAAAGGGATGTTCCAAATGCATAAGAGGAAACCCAGGCAAAGAACATCATATGCTTTTGAAAAGAAAGGACGAATAGGGCCAGAAGCTCAGTTAGATCTTAATGTCTACCTGGGGCTAGGGATGGCGGTCAGTGGTAGATGAGTGTTTAGCATGAGTGACACTCTGGGTCCCATCCCTGCTCCAAAAAGTAAAGGAAATAAATCTAATTGTGAAGCATATTTTCCTAGATGAAATAGTCATCTTTCCATATGCAGAGGCTTTTAGGTTTTCCAGAGCCATCCATGTCCACTAACTCAGAATCCCATCTCAGGAGGTGAGACTTTCATGCCGATGTGGGTGAGGGTCCTCAGGGTCCTCACCAAGTGTCCCTGAGACTGGCCAGTCCTCCCCAGGAACCCGTGAGAGGCCAAAGCCAGGTGGGGGCAGGTCCTTGGGGCAAAGCAGTGGTGCTCCACCTGCTGGCAATGCCACCCCCCCGCCCCGGTCCCCTTCTCTGATGCCCAAAGGGCAGGCAAATGCTGGCTCATGTCGTGCACCTGGGAAGTAGGGAATCCTCTTCCCGTTGAGCTTGTATGAGATGCCAACTTTAATCTCACTCAGGATGTCCAGGATGTCCAGCTTGGTCAAGGCCAGCCTGCCCAGAAAGCAAGGAGTGAGAGATGCAGAAACAGCCCTCACTGCCTTGGTTTTGTTCTTACCCTCTCCTTTTCCCTCATATTAACCCTGAAGTTTGGGTGATCCCAGAAGACTGATCTGCTCCAGGGTACAGGGGAGGTACCCACTCAGGCCTGTGCCATCTTGGCTGTCCAGCTTTCCCGCCCCAAATGCCCTGGCCCAGACTCTTTCCTGTGACTGCAGCTTCCTCCTTGACAGTCGGAGCCCCTTCTGCCTGAGGCTTAGCCACATCTGCCCAAAGCATGGCCTCATGTGGGGTCTCAGTGCCACGAACACTGCACTGTGTCCCCTTTGCCCTCCCATGCCCCCATCCCTGCTTCTGGAGCAGCTGGTGTCATGATGGCAGCTGGCTCTCCACGACTTTCCTCTGTGCCAGCCTGAGGCTAGAGCGTCCAGGTTTTTCTCTCCTTTTTTCTGTCTTCCCTCCCTCCGAGGAGACCCCAGGTGCGGTGGCCCTCATGGATCCTGGACCCTGTGCTTCTCAGTCTGGTGCCGTGAACCCCAGCTGCACCAGGGAAACAGGTCAGTGACATCAGGTCCCCAGCCATGTGGTTCCCCTGGGAAGATGGGCTTGAAACCCACCAGGCAGTGCTCTGTTTAAGTCTGGACCCAATGAGGACTTTGCCACCTGGTGGAAAACATGCAACTCACAGCCTTGGCTGTCTCACTAAGCTGGAGAGGAAGCAGCAAAGCCTTGCTGCCCCAGAGAGGGTCCCAAGCAGCTGGACCTCCAGGTCCTCTTGGGGAACCCTGGGGGCCCACCATGCCTCTCCCCGCCACACCCTCACAGGAAAATCCAGAAATTCCACCTGACAGCAAAGCAGCCCCCTTCCCAGCATCCTCGGGCGCTCTCTCCTGGGGCTCACAGAGGTGGGGGACCGTGAGGCCCTTCCCAAGGGCTGCTAACCTGGGCAGCACCACAGGAGCACCTCTATACTCTGGGTCTTAACTCAAGCTGATGCCTCTGTGGCCCCCTGTGGCTCTCCTCGAAGGGCAGGTGTCAGGTCTCTGGTGAGTCACAGGTGGCCTTTCTTGTTGGGGCTTTGCGTCCTTCCTAGGAGCCCAAGACACTCGTGGTGGTCTGGGGAGCTGAGGGCTGAGGGCTGTGTCACTGCGCCACCCCCACTGGGTCTGGTCTCTTCCCTGCTCCTTCTCTGAGCCCACCTGTAAGATGGTCCTTCAGATGCCAGGCCCCTCAGCTCAGAGACCACTTGAGCGTGACTCTGGGCATGAGGGGGAATGGGCACCTGCTGCTGGGCTGCCCCAGCCCTGCTGTCCCTCTGCAGCCTGTCCCCTGGCCCCTGAAGATGAGTCCAGCAGCCACACTCAGGGCCACTGGGAAGGGCCTGAAAGACAGACTCGGTGAGTGTTGGCCTGGCAAGTGGTCCCAGATGGGCATCACTGCTCCCAACAACCTGAGCAGGGATTCTGCCTCACTGGGGAGGAAGCATGGCCCTGTGACCTGGATTTGTTTCACATGTGCACAGGACCTGCTGTGAGTTCTCACAAGGCCAGGATGCCACCACTATACACCAGGCCCACCTGTCATGCCTTGAAGGGGAGATGGAAGAACCCTGCATAGGGACTGCTTACGCCGTGAAGCCGTTGACCATGTGCGCGTATCTCAGGATCATCAGGTCCAGCCAGCCGCAGCGCCTCTTCCTGCCTGTGGTCACCCCCCACTCGTGGCCACGGTTCTGCAGCAGATCTCCGATTTCCTGCGCAGGCAAGGGGGCATCCACATGGCTCAGTGGCCCTCGTGCCTGTGGTCTCTGTGCCTTCTCCTCCCACTGCTGCCCCTTTCTTGACCTGGGGATCCCTGAAGGTGCACTCTGCACAGGGTCACCCCCATGTCCCCCGCCCTTGTGTCCCTAGCAGCCATGTCCCCAGCTGAGGTGCATGGCACCCAGCCGTGCCTCCCAGGAGCCCCAGGCTGCACCAGGGAAACTGAGGTCAGGGACCTCAGACATCAAGTCCCAGCCATGTGGTTCCTGAGCTTCTCGTGGAAAAGGGGCTCAGAACCCAGCAGCAGTGCTCTGGTTAAGTCTGGGCCCAACAGGGACTGAGCCGGCAGGGAGGAGCCTGGACCTGCAGCTCAGCTTGGGGACAGCAGACCTTTTAATCTCATCCACCTGTGTCTGTGCTGCTCGGTGAAAGCCCCGAGGCTCTCTGGACGGCCCCTCCTACCCATCACAGTCTGAGGGTGGGGCTGTGCTTTCAGCCCTGTCCTAGCTTGGCCTGAGCCGGAAAAAGAAGCCCCGAACAGGACCCAGCCAGCCCAGCCCCAGGAACAGGCCAAGGAAAGCATCCAGTGTCCTCTCTAGAGGAGCTAGCTACTGCAGTGAAGGTGTCTGGGGCTTCCGGGCATGCTGTGTCTGAGGTCCCTACCCTGCGGGGGTGAGCAGAGTGCAGGATGCACACCCGCACATGCACCCCGCCACAGGAGCAAGCTGACCTTCAGCCCATTCGCTACCTGCCTGCCTGTGTGTGTGTGGGGGGGCGGTGAGGCTGAGCAGGGCCCCCAAAGCCCCACCCTGCGGCCTGAGGCTGGGCACTCACATTGATCTGCTCCGTGGGGAAGGCTCCAATGCCCACACGGGTGGTGTAGGCCTTCACCACACCGTACACATCGCCTATGTTCTGGGGCGGGATGCCCAGCCCTGTGCACACGCCACCCACTGTGCAGTTGGACGACGTCACAAAAGGGTAGGTCCCTGCAAGACAAGCCACAGGCTGGAGTCTCGTTCCCCCCTGGTTGCCCTGGGCCCAGGTGCCTCTCAGCAAAGGGCAGGGGCCGGGTCTACCCCTGCGTGCCATGCTGTGTACAGGGCCATGCAGCTTACATAGGAGTGTGGGGTGAGGGCAGAAACAGGCTGTTCCCAGTGTGGACCAAGGTGGCCTGGTCCCCCTGGTGTCCACTGCTGTGCCTGTGGGCTTAGGGATAGCCCGAAGCGTCCATCTGCAGCTCAGCCCTTCTCTTCTCCCTGACCTGCTGCCATTAGGAAAGCTGGGACAGCAGCATCACTTCTGTGGGCGTGGGTGGCACCATGGCTGTGACAGAGGCTCTGCTCACCCCACGGCGCTCCACAGGCAGCCAGTCCCCAGCGTACACAAAAGGCCATCGGGATCCGGAACCCAGGACAGAGCGGGGGTGGGGACAGGGGCGGAGAGCGTACCGAAGTCGATGTCGAGGAGGGCAGCGTTGGCGCCTTCCACCAGGACCTTCTTGGGGGGGCCGTGGAGCGCCTCGTACATGAAGTAGACCCCATCTCGGACCATGGGTCTGATCCGTTCGGCAAAGCCCTGCAGGGACCACGCCAGGCGGTGCTGATAGGCTGCTCCGAGGAGTCCAGCAGTCATAGCAAGGGAGGAGTGACTCGCCAACCCTGGGGTGCCCCACTTACCTTGAGACTCTTGAGCTGGCCTTCGACATCTATCTCCAGGCTGGAGAACATGGATTGGTGCTGGTGGGCCAGGTTCTTGAATCTGTGCAGGTGATCGACACTGTCACACAGAACTTTGCCCTGCAGGATCCCAGCCCCCTCCTCTCCTGCCAGACACCCCAGTACCTGGTGGAAAATTCATCAAAGTCCGACAGCAGGTCGCAGATGCGGAGACCTGTCCGGGCAGCCTTGGAGGAGTAGGTCGGTCCAATTCCCTTTTTGGTGGTGCCGATGCTGAAAGACAGGACCGGGTGTTGGCGAGGACCCCTGGCCCTCACCATGGCCTGCTTCAGCCCTGCCAGCTCCTGCAGAGCTGGGGTCCCCCAACTGATGAAGGTCAGGCAGGGTGACGTCCCAAGAGCATCCCTGAAATTGCACTCAGGACACCAAATGTGGGGCTTTGTGGGGTCCCCCATGCTCAAGTGCATGGCTTCCACGTATGCAGGGCTGGTGAGGGCACAGCATTCAGAGCCCCAGCCCTCTGCCTGTCCCCAGCAGTGCCCTTGCTGCCTCCAAGCTGCCCTTCCTTGGCTTCTCCCGTGCTGGGCAGTGAGGATGCTGCTCTTGAGCCACTGCTGCTTCCCCCAGACGGAAGTGCTGGCTGTGCCCACCATCCCCAGGGCCTGCTCTTAGCACACAGGCTGCTCACCATTGCTATCTGTGCCTGGCTGTGTGCCCATGTGAGCACAAGGCCCACTGTAGATGTGCCTTTGTGTGTAGGTGTGAAGGCGTGTCTGCACGCATGCGTGTAACCCATGAGGACAGCAGCTGGAAGTGGGACCTGCACGTGAGCCTCCCCCGGTCTCTGGTTGTCAGAGGTCCTAGCAGATGTCTGAGTGCACGCTGAGTGCCATCCCGTGCAGGGGCAGGATGTGGGCACTGGCTGGGGCTGGGTGGGCAGGGTTGCTGGGCTGCTTCAGCTTCTCCTTTCCCGGAGGCCCTCATGTGCAGCCAGGGTGGTGCAGGCCAGGGCAGGGACAGCAGGGAAGCCAGCAGGGACAGTGTGGGCCCTGAGAGGTGGGCTGTCATGGGGGTGTCCTCAGGGGCTTTGAGTGGAGTCCCCGCCCACTGCACCCAGGACGGACGTGCCCGTGGCCCAAGACCCAGGAAGGGCAGCGGGCCATACTCACTTCTTCCCCTCCTGGGCTTGGCGTTGCACTTCCTGCAGCCCGTCCACCGCCTGGTGGAAGTCGAACACTGCCGGGCCACCAGGTGTCAGGGGGCGGGAGAGAAGCAGAGGGCAGAGGTCTGTGCAGGTACTCGGCGGCGGGATGAGCCGTCTCCCAGGAAGGGTGAGGGTGTGGGCATGACCCCTGGGGCCCGGGCAGGAGCAGAAGCTGGGGTTCCAGAACCTCAGGCTCCCCTGGGCCCATGCAGGTGGGACTGCGTGATTCCCTGGCCTCAGTTTCCCTGTCTGCAAATGGGGGTAGTGGCTCCTGACCCAGATCTTTGGGAAGGGTGAGGAACAGGTGTGGGAGCTGTGTGGGACCGGGCAGGATCGTGGTTCAAAGCTCACCGAGGTGGGCCCGGTCGGAGATGATGAGCCGCTTCTCCCAGTCCTTCAGGCCTGCAGGGACACGGCACACGGGGCGGCCTCATGGCCCGCTGCGTCCACAGGTGCCCTGTGCCCAGGCCAGGCGAGCCCACCCAGCCCCGCCAGGGTGAGCATGGGGCCAGGAGGCCAGGGGTCCCCCGCACTGTGCACAGCATGATGGCCCTGCCCAAACCACCTCCTCCCGGGCCCTCGCCCCGCCCTGCAGCACCCAGCCCAGTGCCGAGAGCCAGGATGCTCAGCTCTCTTTCCAGGCCTCCTCGTCCGGGACGCTGGCGGAGCCCCAGCCACCCTGCAGGCCAGGGCGGTCCGCGCCCCTGGGCCCACCTTTCTTCTCGTTCTTCTCGGCTTCCTCAAACAAGCCCGGCAGGTGGACGACCACACCGTTGCCTGCAACACAGCGACGCCACACGAGGCTGAGCCAGGCCCAGAGCTTGGGAGCCGACGCTTACTCTGGCCTGCACCTGGCCGGCCGGGGTCACAGCAGCCAGGAACTGGGAGCAGCGCAGCGTCCTTCTGGGTGAATGCGTGCGCCAGGTGTCGCCTCGCACGACTCACCCTGACCCAGCCTTGGAAAGGAAGGGACCCCTGACGCACGACAGCATGGGTGAGCCCTGGCACATGACGCCTGGTGACATCAGCCAGGTGTGAGGTCCCCAAGTGGCAGACTTAGAGGCAGGAGCGGGACCGCGGTTAACGGGCTCCGGTTTCAGAGCTGCCGTCCGGGTGGGTGGCAGGTTCTACGCATGGACAGTGCGATGTTGCACAGCAATCACTTCCTTGCCGTTTACCCAAAGCAGCTGAAAACAGATGTCACACCCAGGCCTGAGCACAGTGCCTAGGCAGCTTTATTCCTGCCTGCCCACCGCGGGAGCAGCCAAGGTGCCCTTCCCTGTGTGGAGCGAGGAAATGAGGCGCACCTGACAGTGGAGGGGCTGTGCAGCATGCGACCCTGGTGTGGCCAGGAAGGTCAGGCAGGTCAGGGTTCGGGGGGCAGGGCTGTGAGCCTTGCCCCACCACCAGGCCAGACCAGCACGGTGGCACTGTGCCAAGGGCCATGACCTCAACCTGAACTTGGAAACGGGACAGTTTTCTACCTGAGCGAGCACCATGAGGTTGTCCCCTCAGCTTGGACCAGTGTGGGTAGGACTGTGACACCACCAGTGGCCGCTGCCACTGCCTCTGCCCACCCTGTTCCATGGAGTCCAGGCATTGCCCATCCTGGGGTGGCAGGTAAGAGCCAGCTCAGTCTTTAAACTATAATGATACAACTTTATCTTTGACACTGGAAAAGACAAAACCATGAAGGCAGTAAAGTGATCAGTGGTGGGCAAGGTGAGCAGGTGACACGGGGTATTTTAAGGCAGTGACACTGTCGTGTGTGACACTAACGGTGGACACGCATCACTGCACATGTCTACACCCCCCGACCACCCCAGGGGACCCAGTGCGAACCCTGGGTGGGGCGACAGCGGTGGCTGTGTGGCTCCTCCATGGTGACAGGGTGTGAACTGGGGGCTGCAAGTGCAGGGGATGGGGTCGCTGGGAATGTGCTGTGCCCGCCCCAGTTTTCCCATGAACCTGAAACTGCTCTAAGGCATAAAGTCTTTTAAAAGACTAGAAATTGATTTAAATGGTAAAGCTCACTGAATATATTTTGCTACCACACCAAAAAAAAAAGGTAAAAGCAGCAGTGTGGTATGAAAACACACACAGTGGGCAGCTCAGCAGCAGCCTGTGCAGGTGGAGGGAAGGCAGTGACCAGCAACTGCACAGAGCTTCTGGTGATAAAACAGTTCTGAAGTTGGCTTCAGGGCAGCAACCCCACAGAGGACTTTATGACTCCTATGTCAACCTCATTGAAAGGATTTTTTACCAAAACAGCGTGACTATGCGAAAGGGGAACCTTGGAAAAGCATAGCCCCCACGTCCCCCAGGACCCTACCGACCCAGCTCTGAGGCGTTTTCCATCCATATAAACTGAGGTGGGGTCCACAGAGGGGTCCCACGAGGCTGAGTGGCGGGCAACTCTCCCGAGGTCACACAGCATGCTGGTGTGTCTGGCTGAAGGGGCCTCTGGCTCACCATCAGGAGCCCAGCAGAGTCCCCCACTGCCTCCCAGGGGAGCCCCTTGCCCCACTGCCATGCACGGTTTGGCTGAGGGGAGGGGGAGCTCAGTTCAGAAGGGAGTGACCTGGAGACTGTACAAGTCACAGCGAGCGGAAAAGGTCACCTAAATGCCACGGCATCTGGAAATAAGCTCGTGGCAGAGGTGGTGAGCGTGGAAAACCCCCTGCTGATGGCTTTGCGGGGTGCCTGCCATGCTGGTTGTGAGTCCACTCACTCGTGCTCCCGGTGACCCCGTGGCCCGGCTCTGGCCATGGCCCTGACTTGGCCTCAGCGTCTAGGCAGATGACCCTCCCGGGAAGTGACCAGGGCCCAGCAGGACGAGGCCAGTCCTCAGCCGGTGCCCCCTCTGCTTCTGTACAGTAGGCAGAGGCTGTCATCCTGGGGCACAGCCAAGCTGCTCCCATCCCCTGCACTTCCTGAGGGCTGGGGTCAGCTAGATTTCTAGGGTCTGGGAAGAGCTGGAAGGAATGGGCCAGACAGAGCCAAGCCTGGCTGGGGACCAGGCAGAGGTCTACGCACACGGGCTAGGAACTAGGCTAGGAACTAGGCCAGGACGGCTCCGAAGCCCTGATGGAGGTGGGGAGGAGACAAGAACCTGGGGACCAAGGTGGTTTCACTTCTCACGGGCACTGAAAGGTCACAGGTGGCTGCAGTGAGGTCAACAGGGGGATGTGCACTGAGCCTGGGGCAGCTGGGGGACCGTGGGGCAGGGGGTCCCTGCAGCATGGACTGGGCCCTGGGGTGGGGAGCCTGTCAGGCACTGGAGTCGCACGGTAGGAGGCCAGCCTGGCTCCCAAGCGTACCCAGTCCACACTGTGGAGCTGTGCTCGCCCAGCACACGCACCAGAGGTCATGAAAGGCACATCGGTGGGTAGACTTGTGCATGCACAGGCAGGAGTCCAAGCTCAGCAGACTCCTGTGCCCTCTGACCCCGGGGCATCCCGGGCAGCACCACACTGGTCTGCAAGGCCCCCTCCTGTCTGTTCCTGCTTGGCCTGGTTGGTGGCTGGCTGTGGGGGACTCCTACACCAGCTCCTGACGTCCAGGAAGCCCAGGGCTGTGGGCAGACCGCATATAGGGTCTCCTGAGCCCAACTCTGGGCCTTCCGGCTCAGGCTGCAATGCTAGGGTGGCAACAGGGGACACTCACCGATGAAGGACACGGCCTTGGTGTTGATGATGCCGCTGGGCAGCAGGTGGAAGTCATACTCTTTGCCGTCTACCACCACGGTGTGGCCAGCATTGTTGCCCCCCTGGGGACAGAGACTGAGCTGGCAATGTCCTCAGGCTCCCTAGGCACCAGCAGACAAAGCAGAGAGGGGCCCCTGGGGAAGCTCACAGGGCCCTGTCCAACAGGCCCCTGCAGTACAGGCGTGCTGGTGGGCAGATGGGAACGGGACCCCTGACCCTGGGCGCAATGGATAGGGCTGCACCTCAGGCAGGCAGGCGGACCCACCACGGGGACACACATGTGCTGGTAGGCACACAAGGGGCCTGGGGGTGGCAGCGCCTCCCTTCCAAGGATGGCCCACTACCACACAAGGGACTTGCTGGCTGACTGATCTTCAACCTCCTCCTTCCTCCTGTCCCCTGCTAGGCTCACCCCGGCCCCAAGACCTCCGATGCCGCACCTGTTATCTGTGCCTTACAGGGGCCCAACAGGCTGCTGATGCTGACCCCACCCCTCCCTGCCTCCCCAGGCAGGACCCTCAATGCGGCTGCCTGTGGCTCGCATGCTTGGCGAGTCCAAGCCTCCTGGGTCCTCTGCTGAAATAGCTGGGTGGAGGTGGTGATGCTCGGGGCCCTGAGGGCCCCCACTTTCGCAGTGATCACTGAGGAGAGGGCTGGAGTTCCACGAACCCAATCCCCTCCCCATCCTCCAGCCCGGAGAGACGGGCCTGCTAGAAGGCCGCCCCACACCACGGCCCCAGATGTGATGCTGAAGCGTTAGATGTCAAGCGCATGGGTGAAGGTCTCCCTGGGGCTTCTCCCAGCAGCCTCCAGCACACCCACACTGTGATGCTGGTGATGCCTCCTGGCCAGGTGAGACCCTCCCAGATCCACCCAGGTCAGCCTCACCGCCTGGGGGCCCCGTCTAGACGTGGCTGACTACACGGCAGTGCACCTCCTCCCAGGGCACCCCCAGCCGGCACTGGGCCATGCGGTGGTGGCTGTGGTCCAACCTGGCATGGGTGGGCTCTGTGTGTGGATGATGAAGATGCTGAGGGGCCTGTGGGGAGCAAGGGCGTGGAGGGGACCTGTGTAGCCCCTCATGGGGCACATGGGCAAGCTGTTCTGGGGGCTGCCTGGAGGCAGGGAGACAAAGGAGGCTGGGGGCACAGCAAGAGGAGGAAGGAGGAGCTGAGAGATCCCTGAACTCCCTGGGGGCTTGGCAGACGCTGCATCCTCTCTTGGGTTTGTGGGTACAGCCTGTGGGATGGGCCAGGCCCACAGCGGACCCTGCAGCCAGGTTGGGAGACCCCTCCATGCTCCTCTCTCACCTGGCATGTGCAACCCCTCTGGCTTGGGAAGCACCTGCGTCTATGACCGGTGTCTACCGGAGGTGAGGTCTCCAGGGACCAAGGTCCCGAGAAAAGGCGAGTCTGGGGCAGAGCCGGCAACACACCATCCTGGCCCACAGCCTCCTCCGTGCAGTGGGCAGACCTCAGGGACAATGAGGTGGTTGAGCACTGCCTGCCAGGGCAGCTGGGGGCCAGGAAGCCAGACGCCCCGGGAGGGTGCCCAGGACCAGGCCAGCTGGCAGAGGACACAGGAGCACACCGCCTGTGTCGGGGTAAACTCGGGTGCCTGGGAACAGCACAGCATCACAGGCCAGCAGGCATCCCATGACCTTGGGCCAGTGCCCGCTGTGGAGCCCAGGCGTCAGGGACAGGCACTTGGGGAGGCACTAGCCACGGGGCTTCCAGCAGCCCTGCAGAGGTCACCGACCACTGGAGGGGGCGGGGCACTCGGACCTGCCCGGCTCGGCAAGAGGAAGCCATGTGGTGCCCTGAGCCCTGCAGGCTCTGCCCCCATCCGGGTGAGCAGGCTCTGGAGGACGCTGTGCCCAGAGCTAGCTCTCATCACATGGGCATCAGCCCGGCCACCGTGCAGTGTGAGGGCCTGTGTGCTCAGCCTGCGATGGCCACGTCTCAGCGTGCAGTCTCCTTCCTGGGCCCTTGCTGGCATCACCCTGGGGGCCCCTGGGGTCACCGGCAGCCCTCCTGTGGCTCTGCCTGGGTGCTGGGCCCCAAGGAGGCTGACCTCAGGGCTGGATCTGCATGGCTCTGCCTGGCTCCCCACCTGGAGGCCCGTGGCTTGCCCTGCCCTCCTGGGTGCTCCCAGCGTGGGCCCCAGAAGCTCCTCCCAGGGCAGACCCTGGGTGGAGTGCTGCGAGGTGCCTCCCCAGTGGGCCCTCCATGCCAAGCTCCCCTCCAGTCCCCAGCCCTCGGCCCACGTCCATGCTCCCCCGGCTCCAAGTCACCCTGGGTGCAGCAGGGCCGACTGCATCACAGGCTGCTCCATCGGCTTGGGGGAGGTCTCACCTCCTGTGCCCTGGGTGCTCCCGGGCCTTAAGGCTCAAAAGCCACCCTCCTGGGGCTGAGGTAGGGGCCTGATGGCCAGGCCCCAGCACCCCCACGAGATGCCGCACTTCCTTTCGGTGTCTCCTTCCAGGTTCCCTCTGGGAGGCCCTGGGCAAAGCTGGGGAGGATGGAGCCTTCATCTGCCTGTGGAAGCACAGGGCAGTGTGGCCATGTGGCCATGCTCTGTGGCCAGCACCATGGTGGTGCAGAGGTGGCAGGGGACCTGCTTTTGGGAGCATCTCAGGTACTCCAGGGGGCCCAGAGCAGCCTGGAATCTCTGGTGAGCACTTGAGAAAGCTCTAGAACCCTGCAAACCATAGGACAGGACCCCCCAAGGCACAGGACATCAGCCAGAGAAGACACAGGAGCCCCTGGGACCTGGTGCCCACATTTGTGGTCCACCCACGGGGCTGTGGCTTCCACCACCAGCCTGAGGTCGACCCAGAGAGTGACCTGAGCCAGGCCTCAGCCCTGGCCGGAGCTGGGTGGTCACGGACATGAGTTCATAGTGGACAAGAGAAAGCTCCACCAGGCTCCAGTGCCCAGTGTGCCCTCAGCTGGCCATCCTCAGAGGAAGGAATGGGTAGGACATGGAGTAGGGCGGGTGTGGAGCCCTTGCTCTGTGCCCACTTCACAGACCACCTGGTTCCTTCAGCCTGGCATCCTCTGTGAGGTCAGGCCCTGGCATCAGACCCGGCTCTGGCATCATCGTTTGGCTATGCTCCTGCATTGTAAGGACAGGCAGCCCCGGCTGGACCCTCAGTGCCAGCCTCTAACCATACCAGGGTGGCCCTGGGTGCACAGAGATGGGGCAGATGCTGGGAGGCCGGCAGCAGGCAGGAGCCTCACTCCAGGACAGAGACAAGTGCAGGAAGCTGGGTCCCTGAGCATGTGCAGAAAACAGGGGTCTGTCACCGGGGATGTGGCATGGCCTTGTGGGGCGGGGCTGGCTGGGTGCCCACAGGTGAGGCAGGGGTGCAAGCCCAGGCTCATCATGCTGGGCAGGTGGCTGTGGTTAGGGAGTTAGGGCCTGCCTCAGCTTCCCCTCGAGTTTCCCGAGATGTGAGGGAGCTCTATGGAGCCCCATTCACGGGCTTGTCAGCAGGCTGGGGGGCACCCGTGGTTCCACTGTTAATTCCTGCTGAGCAGGCATCCACGGCCCCTTCAGCCCAGGACAGGGTTTGATCTCTGTAGGGGACAGGCTGGGGGAGAGGGTTCTGAGTGGGCCCAGTGACAGGTCCTGTCAAAGGGTGGGAGTCACGGGGCCTAGCCTGGCGACCTGGGTGAGGGTTGTGTCAGCAGGGTCCTCTTGATGGACCTACAGTTTGTGTGGATGGTGCGGGGCAGGGGCGCCCTGGAATGACAAAATTCTGGACGTGTACCCAGCTACAGGTCTGAGGGGTGGGGGTCAGAGAACGGGGGACTGCCCCACCCTAGGAAGCACTTTTCACAGCCACCCACAGGCCTGTCCAGAGGCTGTATTCTCGGGCAGCGGGCTGCGGCCACCCCTTTCCTCCAGAGCTCCCACAGCCACTCCTGAGCCCAGCACCAGGCCCCGGTGCCAGGGAAGAGTTCCACCAGGTGCACCTGCCCCAGGGGTGACTCCAAACACAGCAGAGCACCCAAAGCAGACACTGCATGGGGCTGACAGCACACAGGCAGCATGGGCAGGGTCCCATGGGCGAGGGCAGTGGCCCAGAGTGTCCACCCAGCACCTGGAGCACTGCAGGTGCCCATGCCCTGTGCAGGTCCTTGGGGACACAGCTGTGCCTGGCTCCTGCGTGGCTCCAGTAGACCCTGGGTCGCCCTGGCCAGAAGTCTGGGCTCCTCCCTCCCCAGGTGCCTGGGATCCTCTGGATTCTGCTCCAGGTCCTTGCCCCAGACACTCAGCCTGACCGGGTGCGGCCAGCCTGAAGCTGCCCAGACCCTCATGGCTGCAGAAGGAGGAGGGAGGGTTCTCCCGGCCTCAAGTTACCCGAGCCGGGTCCCACACCCCGGGGCGGCCCAGTCACTCTCACGGCGCGCCCTGCCCACCCCTGAGGATCGGGTGTCCCCAAGTCAGCACTTGTATTTATAGCTCTGGCCCTGGGCTACCCTGGGAGCGGGCAGCATGACGGGGAGTGTGAGTGGCTCGAGTGTGCCGGATCGTGGGCGAAGCGCCCCAGGGAGCCGCTCCCGCGAAGACCTCCCAGGGGCGCCGGTTCCCGGGGAGGGGGGGCTCGCCGGGCGGTGGGGGACCCGGCGCCCGGCCCGCACCTGGCAGCGGCTGACGATGTCGGCGTCCGTGGCCAGCAGGTCCACCACCTTGCCTTTGCCCTCGTCCCCCCACTGCGCGCCCAGCACCACGGTCACGCGGGAGCCGGTCGCCGCCGCCTCCTGCTGCAGCCGCCCCCGCTTGACGCCGCCCGCGCCGGGGGGCCGGTCGTTGGAGGCTCGGGTCCCCGACATCTTCGTCCGCCGCGCTGGGCCACCCAGGAGCCCGCGAGCCCGCGCGCTGCGCCATTAAATGGGCCGTCCGGGGCGGGGCGGGGCGGGCAGGGGCGGGGCGGGGCGGGCAGGGCCGGGGCGGGGCGGGGCGGGCAGGGGCGGGGCGGGGCGGGGCGGGCAGGGGCGCGCGTGACTCGGCGCAGGTCCCGCCCTGGGGCTGCCAGCACTGCACTGGGCGGCAGGGGGCGTGCGGACACCGGGCGTGGCCTGCGGGAAGCAGGGCGGGCCACGCACGGCGCCACATCCCCGCCAGCCAACGCGGAGCCTCCCTGCCAGCGGGGCACTCCGGCGGACACCGCCCCCAGCGGCAGCGGGACCACGGAGGCCCCAACTCGAAGACGCCCGCCCCGCTCAGCCGCCGGCCTGTGCGCGGCCCTCAGCCCCAAGTGCAGGCAGAGCGGGACCTCGGCCCTCAGAGGGGTCGCCTGATGCGCACCGGCCATGGCAGCGCCGGTTTCCAAGAGCCTGACACCAGCCCTTCCTGATCCAGCCCGAGGGGCCTGGGGACCCAGAGAGGCCATGGTCTGTGCGCTCCCAGACCCCCGCGCCTTCCCAAGTGGACTGGTTTAGAGAAAGATGGCGGGAGAGGAGGCCAGCCCCGAGAACAGGCTCCTCCCCTCCCTGTCCCTGCCCTCTGTCCTATGGGCCGAGCAGTCAGGGGCCTTGAGCTGCCAGACTGCGTCCCCAGGAGAGACCTTCTGTGTTAAGGGGACACGTTCTCGCCCTCGCAGTGCCACCAGGGGGTGACAGATGGCCGGGTGGGAAGCAGCTGAGCCAGGGGCAGCAGGCTCCAGACTGACACTGGCACAGGTGGGACCCCCTGGAGATGGGTGGGGGGACATGCGGTGCTTCGTAGGCGAGGCGGGGGCAGGATGGTGGCTGGAGACATCCAGGGGTCCTGGAGCTGGGTTCAGATGAGAGGAGCATCGTGAACTTCCAGGTCTAAAGTCACATCGGAAAAGGGGGTGCAGCTGTCCTTCCTGGGGAGACCCAGGGCCCTAGGCTGGCGGGAGTGAGGCACCTGGACCGTCCCACCTTGGGGGCTCCGACTGGCTGTGTGGGCCAACGGCGACCTGGGGCACTGAGTCCCAGGGGCCCAAGACTATAAATACCACAGGCCTGGGGTGGGGAGACAGGCACTTCTAAATACAGCCTCCTACAGGCCCAGCAGCTGGGCACGGTCACACGGCCCAGCCCAGATTAGATCACCCACCCCGCAGCCAGCCTGTCCAGGGGAGATGGGCTGTGGCCTTCCTGCTGTGACCTGGGACCAGTGGCCTCCACCTGGCTGAGGGTTCAAAATCCCCTCTGGGGAGCAGGGCACGACCACCAGTGGGCTCCTGGGAGGACCCCGTGGGACACCCAGATACCCACAGATGCCAGGCACCCCCACAGTGCCTAAGGGTTCGGTGTGTAGCTGCTTAGCTTGCTTCCGGGGAGCAGCAGGAAGGCAGGCTCTGGGGAGGCCTGGTCCCTGGCAGCCCACGTCGAGCGTCCAGCGCAAGTGCGGCTCAGAGCTGTGTGCTCTGGGGGCTGCAGGAGCGGCTGGTGGGCCAGGCAGGTGCACACTCGGCCTTGGAAACTCATCTTGCAGGTTCCTAATGTTAAACCTGAACTCGGCACACAGCCACAGCCGCCATTCTGCTAGAAACCCACAGCAGAGGAAGGGGTGCAAGGTGGATGTGAGGGCCAGAATGCAAATTCTCAGGCTTTGGTCACAAGGGAGGTCCCACTGGGGAGGACGCAGTGGAGGCGGGACTTGGTCTGGACCCACGGGGAGCTCCGTGAGGGGCAAGCCCTGCTCTGGGCTACAGCCCTCAGGAGCTGGAAGCCTAAGTGAAGAAGCCTCGAAGAAGGAAGGGTGCAGGTGGCGGTTCCCAGGGAGTGTCCACGGGGCAGCAGTGATGACCAGGGCTGACTGTGCCCGGCAGGAAGGCTCTGGAGAGACAGCAGTGAGCCAAGCCTGGTCGTGGCGATGGCTGTGCCACCTTATAAATGGGCTGAAAATGTCACTGCTGGGGTGGGTGGGTGTGCACACCTGCCCTTCTTCCCCCAGTGGCTGGGACTCTCCACCTGCCTGTTCTAGTGCCCCCCACCTCCACGGCCCCTGGCAGATGCTTGTTGAATGACTGAATGATGTTTACTTGACACCAGCAGCACCACACCCACCATGCTCCGGGCCGTGCTTGGCCGAGGAGGAAAGCAGGCTTCCTACCACAAACCTGCAGTGCTGGGGCCTCTGGGTGTGCGGCACAGGCTCCCTGGTTGGTGCTCAGAGAGATTCTGAGAAGGCCTGACCCAGGCTGCTGGGCATGGCAGGGGACAGCATGTCCAGAGTGGGCACTGCAGAGCACTGATGCCTGTCCCAGGAGCCAGAGGGGCACGGCTCGACTTGTGTCCCCTTTGCTGCCCAAGCTGTCACCTAGCTCCTGGCTCCATGACTGTTGCTGTCAGTGACTAAGGGGCCATGGCCAGAAGCCCACTGGCAACTTTAATTCAGCCTCTGGTGCCAGACACAGAGCCCTGTTCGGGCCCACCCTGCTGCTGGTGGGTCTGGAGGCCGGGACAGCTAGGGCTGAACCGCTGGGGTCTGCCCGGTCCCCTGCCGCTTCCCCGCCTCGGCTGTGGAGCCTGCGCCACCCACTCGTGCTAGGCCCCGTGCCCCTGACCTCCACCTGCCGCTCTCCGTTCTCATCACCCATCCCTCTCCCCACGTCACCCCAGCTGCTGCGAGGGGAGCCTGGTGTGGACTGGGCCCCCAGAGCACTGTCCGACCCCACCCCTTCTGCCCCAAACACAACAGTCATGGTGGCCCAATGCTGCTCTTTATTGGTCAAAGTCCCTGCTGCTTCCCACCTCGGTGGCCCACCTGGGGCCTGGGCAGCTGGTCTTGGGGGGTGTTGATGAAGTGGCCAGTCCAGGTGCAGGGCCTCAAGGCTGCCCTCAGGGGCTGGGCACACTGCCCATGGCACTGCCTGCTAGCCCACCACCCAGGCCCAACACAGCTGCCTCTGAACAGCACAGACTCAAGAAGAGCCATCTTTCAATCAAAAGCCAGCTGAGGGCCGGGCAGGGTCACACATGCCTGTAACTGCGGCCTCACAGGAGGCTGAGCCAGGAGGGTCCCAAGCTGGAGGCCGGCCCGAGCAACTTACCAAGCCTGTCTCCAAAAACACAAAATTAAAAAAAAAAATCCCCTGGCTGAGCTGGCGAGGGCAGGGCTGCGGGGGGAGGCAACACCTTCCAAGGGCCACAAGGCACCCAGGGAGCAGGGCTGGGTGACAGGGTTGTGGGCTGATGCCAGGTCATAAACCAGGTCACAAGCTGTGTGCGTGCGGGTGGTACAAGGGGCGCCAGCCCCTGGCGCTGCAGCCTGTGGGGTCCTGGCCACGACGCCACCGGGAGCTCCGAGGCCCCCGGCTGGGTAAGGCACGGAGTCCGGCTCCTCGGGGCCCAGTCCCACCTGGCCAGTGGAGCCTCCTTGCAGGATGTCCCGGCCACTGCAGTGCCATGGCTGTGGGTCCCTCACTTGGCTCTGGGCTTGGGCCGGAGGCCTGTGGAGCAGAGGAAGGGACATCACCGGCAGACCTGCTGGGGACGGCTCCAGGTCCCTGCGCCCCAGGGCCCAGTGATTACAGGCTCTCCAACCCACGCCCACTGTCTGCACTGTGGTGCCCACCGGGCCTCTCGGGCTGGAGCTCTTGCCCGCTGTCTCCACCCACAGAGGACCAGGGCCTTTACCAGGACGCCTGGCTGGCTCTGCAGACCCTCTGCCCAGCACGCTCTGTGCTCCCTGAGTCTGCCCTGTCACCATCCTGGTGCCTGAGTCCTGGGGTCTGTGGGGGATGCGGCAGGCTTGGGTTTGAGAACCTCTTTCCCAAAGCAGCAGAATACTAGCAGAAACAAACTTCATAGAGGGCTGGGGAAGGAGCTCAGGGGCTCTGCATCTGCCTAGCAAGCACAAGGTCCTGAGTTTGAGCCCCAGTTCCAACAAACAAAAAACTGCTGAGAACACAGCAGGTGGGATTTCAGCGCCAGCCCTCTGACAGGAACGGGGATGGGCCAGGCCCAAGGTGGGCAGGGGCTGCAAGGCCACCAGTCAGAGAGACACAGAGCAGCCAGACTTGCTGTACAGAGGACACTGCAAGGTGCCACAGCCACTTAGTGGGGTTGTGGACAGGACTTCCCAAAACACCATGCATTTGCCACAATGGCACTGCTGGACAGCTGCACACATGGCTCAGTTCAGAGCACTCTGTGGCGTGGCTGAAGTGGCCTGCACGCTCGCCTTGGCCTTCAGAGTCCCCTGTGGATGGGCCTAGGGCCAAGCATCAGGACATCCTTGTGACCCTGCAAGGGTCTAGAGCTGGGGCAGAGCTGCCAGGGGAGAACAATTCTGTTAGGTCTGCAATTCCAGGGAGATGGTGCAGTTTGCTCTGATCTCTCTCAGATGCTGAGTTCAGGTCTGTCCAAAAGAGAAGCTAGGAGACAGGCAGTGGGGTTTCTTCCCCTGCCTGTGGCCACCCAGATGGCCGCTCCCCGAGGTGACCCCAAGGGTGGGGCACACGTGGCACTGGGCCCAGCACCTATTACAGGACGGTGGCCACGTGGCCTTCCATGCCACAGGCAGCAGGACACCATTGTCCCCACTCCGGGCACAGCTGCTGGAGGGCTCCGAGGCCACATTCCCACCTCAGGGGATGCCACAGCCCTTCAAGAAAATGGGCTAGGGCTTCAGATCAGGGTCCAAGACCAGAAACCAAGCCAGGGGCAAAGGCTCAGGCCATAACAGTAGCGCCAAGCATAGCTATCAGTCCTCAGCCAGGCGGTACACCTGTCATCCAGCACTCCGGAGAGATCAGAGTCCGGTTGGGCAACCTAATGACTGACTGGTACCTGGTACCTACCTGTCTCAGAATAAAATATAAGAAGGGCTGGGGGCATAGCTCAGTGGAAGGCCCTCGGGTCCCGTCCCCACTCCCACAGACCTCATCCCTGTGCCCCTGCCGGAGCCTCAGCCTGGTGTGAGGAGGGGCAGGGCGCCAAGTGGGCCCTGAGCTCTCGCCAAGCTCAGATGGGGTCAGGCCCTCTTGACCTCTCATGGGGCGCCTGGCTTCACCTCAGCCCTTCAGGCCACATGGCCCCCGGTGGTCCTGTCCACATTCGCTGGGAGGCACCTGCCCAACACAGAGCCGGCTATGGGAAGGGAGGGGCCGCCCACCCCATTGCAGCCCCTCACAGCCTCCCTGGGGACGTGCGTGGCCAGCACCCGCACTGCAGCAGCCCCAGAGTCGCCTAGACTCCGGGCAGAGGGCGCCCCCGGGGAGGTGGGGTCAGTAAAGCTGCAGGGCCACAGGGGCAGCGGGCCACGGTTAGGGCCAAGACCGGGGCAGGAGCAGCCTTGGCCCCCTCCCTCCCACGGGGAGCTCCACCGCGTCCCTGGCCATTGGTCTCAAGGCGGGCGCTGAGGCTGCATCCTGCCCAAGTGGAGGTGGCACAAGGAAGTGGATCGGAAGGAGCCGCCACCAAGGGCTACAGGAGGCACCTGCCACGTGCCCCAGGGGCCAGAGCGAAGCCAGGTTAGCACCCGGGAGGGCCGGGCAGCAGGCTCAGCCCAGCGCCCACCACCGTTAGTGCACACAGAGCGGCTGCGTACCTACCTCACTGGACCACACACAGCCTTTTTGTTTTATTATCATCAGAACCAGGGGCAAGCTCTGCTTTTAAATGAAAGAAAAGCACTCAGAAGCTTGTCCCAGGTGACAGAGGGGCTGCTGTCCTCGGGTGACAGCACTGGCACCACCCCCGGTTCTCTGCACGGAGCCCAGTGCAGGGTGTGCCGGGCCTAGTGCCAGCCCCGTGCAGCCTGGCGTGAGCTGCCCCACTCCCTGCGGGGCTGTGACGGTGGGCAGAGTGGTTTGCGGTACAGCGATGCAGCTGCGAGGCCCTGAAGCGCCGACCCCGTGTGCCCAGTCCCCCTCCCTCTCCCCTAGGTGCTCTGGAGCTGCAGCACCCTCTGTGTAAGGGAAGGGACCTGTCACCAGGTGGTGGCCGCGGGAGGGGGCGACCCCGAGCCCTGGCCGGAGGGAGCCTCGACTACAAGAGCCCGACCCCCGAGACCCACTTGCCACCCAGCCCAGCCCCGAGTTACCCTCCTGGCTCCTGGAGGGGTGCTTCTTCCTCCGCCTGCTGGAGCCCTTTGAGGCCCGGCCCCAGGCCTGGGCCCTGGGGAGGGTGCCAGACCCGGACGAGTCTGTCACTGCGTGCTCAGAGGACTTGTCCAGGGATGTGTCCAGTGCAGACTCTGGGGCTGTGTCCTCCCTGTCCTCATCCCCACTCGGTCCTATGTCCTCTGGTGCCAGGCTTGTGCTGTCTGCCTTGGCCTGGTGGACACCCTGGGAGGCCTTAGGGTTCTCGTGATCCTGGGGTCCTGAACTCTGTGATCCCAGGGGCTTCTCGATGGAGAACTGCAGAGGCTTCAGGGCCTGTGAGTCTCCCAGGGCCACCGGACAGGCCTCCTTGGAGGGGCAGACGTTCAGGGCGTCCTCGGCATCCAGAAAATCACGGGCATCGACATACCAGGAGGAGCGCCGCTCCAGGCGTGGTAGGCCGCTCTCCTCCCCAGGGGGCACCGGGCTGCGGCTCACAGCATCCCCAAGGTCCCAGCCCTGTGGCTCACTGGTCACTGTGACGCGAAGGTCCAGATCCGGGGCAGGGCAACCTGTGCCACCTGCGGGGCCCTGCGCAGTGTCACTGGCAGCTGCTGTGGGCGGAGGGCTGCGCGGTCAGCGAAGGGCAAGGGCCTGCCCCCTACCGCCCAGGAAGTGCTGCCAACCCTGCCTGGCTGGCTCTGTTAATCTCTGCTGTGCCGGAGGCCCCAGTGGGGCTTTCTACGGCCAGACTGGGTCCCAGTCCTGCTGTCCGCAATGTAGGACAGCAGGGACACCCTGGGGACCACAAAGACTGCCACTGCCCCCAGGGCCCGGGGGAAAGCTGCCCAAGAGTGGGCCCCTCCCCTGGCCTGCCTGGGCCACCACCCGCGTCTCGAGCCCTGGGGTGTCTGTGGACGGGTCACCGACCCCCAGCTCTCCCGGTGCCCGGGGCTGGATGGAGCTGGACAGGACCATCCACAGACACGCCCCCAGGATGGCAGTTGGGATTGCCCCTGCCAGGGTGCAGGGGTGGGCAGCACTCTTAAGGTCACAGGGCTGCAGGATGGGACCAGGGGAACCATGCAGAAGCGGCAGACGGGCTCACCAGGCTCCCGGGGCCTGACGGGGTCCACGGCGGCCACCTTGCTGAGCCCTTCGGCGTCTCCTCGGCCACGGGCCGTCTTGCGAAGCTGGAAGCCCTTTCTGATGTCCGCCAGCAGGGCATCGATCACACACACCTCCTCCTGCCTCCCAGGCGCCTTCCTCCCTGAGGAGCCAGGGGCCCTCAGAGAGCTGCTCTGGGGACCCAGATCCCACCCTGGGGCCCTGGGGAGGACGGGTCTGGCTGGGGCAGAGCTGTAGGACTTGGGCAAGGGAGGACAATGTCCCCCGGTCCCTACCCCTGCCCCATCCCACTGAGCCTGGCCTCACCAGGCTTCCTGTCCCCGCCCTGGGGCCTTCGTGCCTCCTCCTCCGCCAGCTGCTGCTTCCTCCTCACTGCCTTCTCCACTTGCTCCTTCCTGTCCTTGTTCTCCTGCTCGGGCGGACAGGAGCCTGTCACCCACCCTGCAGCCCTCTGCTGGCCGGGAGCCCGCGGTGTGGCGAGGATGGCCATGGCCCCCTCCCCAGCTGCAGGGCTACACAGCTGGATCCACTCAACCCTCTGGGCATGGCAAGGGGCCACAGGACGCCAGTCTGGCCTCAGGTGGCCCCTCCCACCTTCAGGGCACATGTGAAGAGGTCCCGGAAGGTCCTCATGGTGCTGAACGTGTCCTCCAGAGATAGCTTCTGGGGGTCTTCACACAGGTAGTCTGCCAGCTCCAGCTTCTTCTGCTCAATGGCCTCGAACACCGAGTTCAGCTCTTGGCAGGTGGTGATGCTGGCCTGGGGGCAGGGGCTCGGTCACCACTCAAGGGTCGCCAGCCCGGCAGGGTGGGGAAGCAGCCATGGGGGCAGGGCCACCAGCCAAGGGCAGCCCTGGACTCGTGAGGACCTGAGCACCAGGACCCGCCTCGGGGAGGCCACCACCCTGAATGCCGCCTCTGTGCTCCCTTCCGGCCTGGCCAGTTCCAGGTAGGCACGCCCTCCCTGGAGCCCCCCAGCCTCTCCCGCCAGCAGCTGGGTCTGTGCCCACGTACTTGCAGGCGCTGCTTGTATTGCTCCTGCACCTCGGGTACTGAGGCGGACACCTTCCGTTCTGTGTCCAGCAGCTTTTTCAGGTTAGCACTGGCCTCTGTGCGGATGATCTCCACATTGATCCTGAAAGGTGCCAGGGCCGGGCCAACTCAGGGAGAGCCAACACCCAGCCTCTCGGGGACTAGGGGGCCTGCATCCACACCCTGCTGGGGACCTGGTGGTGCACTGTGAACTAGGCCAGCAGGGTGGGGAGGTCAGCTGCCCTCCTGTCTGACTGGCCCCAAGGTCCGGCAGCTCCTGGGCCACAGAGGCATCTGGGATGATGGAACCTGGCAGGGCCTGCAGTCGGGGCTGGGGGCCTCCCCAAGCTCCACCAGGTGGTGGGACCTCGGAAGGTGACACGGCTGCCCTGGACTCGGTTTCCTCTGCAGAACCTTGGGGTGGCATGAGCCTGTCAAAAGGCTGTGCCAGCCCAGCCCACTCCCTGCCCCCTAGGCCTCATTTCCCAGTCTAGGCCACATGGAGACAAAGGCCACAGCAGAGGCGAAGTCCTGTCCCAAAGAGAAGGTCAGCACCCTGTCAGGCTGCAGGTTCCACAGGTGCCAGGGATGCGCTGTGACCTGAGCCAGCCCTGTTTGGAGCCTCTGTGGCTGGGGCCGAAGCTGGGGTGGCAGGCCACTGGGGGCTGGAGAAAGCCACCTACCCTGCTGCTTGGGATGGCTGCTCCAAGTCCCCAGCCAGCTGCAGGAGGTCTGGGTGGCTCTTTTCCACTTCCTGCAACAGGATGTGTCCAGTAAGGTTCACTCTGGGCCCCTGGACCTGGGGCTTCCCCCAGCTCTAACCCTTAGCAACTGAGGATCAGGAAACCCTCAGCCCGGGGCCTCCTGGGTCCTTCCCTGGTGCCTGGCCATGATCTCATGATGTTTTTGCTTTTCTTAGGGACTGGCCTACACCAGACAGGGCTAGGTGTCCTGGGGAGGGACAGCGGCTGCAGGAGGGGTGCTGCATCCATCCCCGGTGCCTGCCGGGCCCACCTCCAGCACATGGTGCAGCAAGGTCACACGGCTCTGCTGGGACTTGGTCTCTGTGAGCTTCAGCAGAGTGCTGATCTTGAAGCCGTCAGCGTTCCCCGTGTGGCTGCCCTGTGAGGGACCAGGAGTGAGTCCCCTGCCTCCCCAGGCTGGGCATCCACACAGGGGCACCTCGGACTCACGTAGTTGAGGAAGTTCCCGATCTTCAGGATCAGCTGGCAGAAGATGGGCAGCCGGTGGCTGGTGAGCAGCCCTGTGGGGCCGGCAGTGGAGAGGGTGGGAACGCGGCCCGAGGCCTCCTTGCCTGGTCACCCCTCCCGCTCAGTGCTCTCAGCGGCTGTCCTGACGCTGCACCGAGTCTGTCCCCTCCTGCGCCCGGCCTGTCCCTCCTTCCTCCCCTGCGGAACTCACTCTCACAGGCGTTTAGCACCAGCTGGGCCTTGGGCCGCACCATGTCCAGCATGACAGCCGTGCCCTCACAGAGCAGCATGCACTCGATCCGCAGCTGGTAGCTGCCGGGAAAGAGCGGTCAGGGCCGGGTGCCCCGCTGCAGTCAGTATGTGCTGGGCACAGAGCGCTGCTCGGTCCGCATGCACATTCCCAGGCCCGCCCAAGCCTGATTCCTCACGGCTGGTGGCTGGGGTGCTGGGGCATGGGAGGGCTTCCCAGGAGGAGCCCGCCCTAGAGACCCCTAGAGGGGCCCCAGGCCCCTGCTCTGCAGGGAAGGGCTGGGGATGAGGGGGCCACGTCTGCACAGCCCCTCCGTCTTGCAGGGCTCGCTCCCCTCGGCCACACTCACCAAGGGACGTCCAGCAGGAGGACGTAGAACTGGTCGGCGCTGGCCAGCTTGGCTCGGTCTTCTGTGAATGTCCGCAGGTTCTCAATCTGCCGGGAGAAGGCCCGGGCACAGGATTTGCTGTACGTATGCATATGCACATGCGCTGTGCACACGCACGCACACACACACACACATAACCTACGCACACCAGCTCCTGCCCTTTCCAGGAAGCCCTCCTGCACTGTTCTCTTTTGGCTTGTGTGCTCACTGCTCCGGGCAGGGTGGCCTGGGACCCTCCCCTGCCCTGTCCCCACGGGGAGAGCCAGGACAGGGCCTGTCCTGTCCTCTTCGTGGCCTGGGAGCCCAGCTGACCTCGTGCTTCTCTGGCAGTAGCTTCAGGAGCTGTTTGAGAACCTCCACGTCGAACATGGCCGTGTCTCCGGCCCGGATCATGGCAGTGACCTCCTCGTTGGAGCTGGAGGGGTGACGGGACAGGGACTGGTGAGTGAGAAGCCCCTTGGTCTCCTGGGGCCTCAGTCGCAGGGCCTCAGTCGCAGGGCCTCGGGTGGTCAGTGGCCAGGCCAGCACTCACCGTTTAAACTGCTTCAGGAAGATGTTGAGATTCAGGCTCTTCTTGGGGTCCAGAAAAGTAACCTGGAAGACCCAGCAAGGCTGGAACCTGGAGGGCAGCCAGTGGGGCCCATGCAGCCCATCCCATCCCGTGCCCACCTCCTTGGGCTCCTTCCTGGTGGGGGCGGTGGTGCACTCCTTGGGCTTGGCGGTGGGGAAGGAGAAGAGGCGCTCGATGCTGGAGAAGTCGAGCTCCACCTGCTGGGTGCCCGGCCCGCTCAGCGTGGCCCACATGGAGTTTTGCTCTGCAGGGAGGGGCTGGCGTCAGGCCCACAGCCCGGCCAGGGGCAGCGCACAGCGGAGTCCACCCACCCCAGTGCTGTCCTGCAGCCCAAACGTGGACACGCCTGCGTACACTCCTGTGTCTGACGGTGCAGGCAGAGCCCCCAGGGCCGGTTTGCCCTGGCAAGTGAGGTGGGCCCCTCACAGGCCAGCGTGGGGACAGCCTGCGGCTCCCTGCTGGGCACGTGCAGCCCTCACCTTGGGCCACATTGGATGGCAGCTTCTGCCAGTTGAGCTTCTTCATGCGCAGCGTTGGGGGGTTCACCCGGCGGTGGCTGGGGACCCAGGTGGAGCCCAGGCCGTGGTCCACCTGGGCCACAATGACCTCCTCCATGCCAGCTGCCATGGGGAGCCCAGAGATGCCGGGGCCCCAGCCCACTCCAGGGGGCAGGGGAGGGGGAGGGGGTGGACACCCTGTGCCCGGAAGTGGAGGAGGAGGTGGGGGCAGGGCGCTGCCACAGCCAGGCAAAGGGGGTGCAGGTGGGGGTGCCGAGAAAAACGGGCTCCCCAGGCTGGGCAGGGGGGGAGGGGGGGGCACTGGGGCAGACGCAGCCCCCAGGCCTGGCATGGGGTGTAATGAGGGCTCGGGAGTGGGGCCCAGGACAGGAGGTGCAGGTGGGGGCGGGCGGGGTGCCCGCTGTTGGGGGGCCACCGGCTGTGTGGCTGTCACGTTGGAGCTCTGGGTGCTGGCCACCTGCTGGCAGGCAGGAGCCACTGCTGGCTGCGGGGTGTCCACAGCCCCAGGGGCAATGGTTTTGGGAGGCCTGTCCCTCTGGCTCCGGTCGAGGTCAGCCTGGACACTTTTGTGGGCCCGGTCCTGGGGGCTCGGACGGGGCCGCCCTTTGGCAGCCAGCAGCCGCTCGACCACCTCCTCCAGGGTGCACTCCTGGGCTGTGACACGGGAGGGCACTTTCAGGTCAGGGAGAGGCCGGGGAAGGGTGGGCAAGTGGGCCAGGCTGGGGTGGCAGGCTCGGGGTAGCCTCCCCGCACAGCCTGAGGACAGTGTCTTCCCAGTGGGCTGTGCCTTCCGCTCTCCTGGTCACTCACCGTCGCTGGCCAGGAGCACGGCCCGGTTCACCAGGCTCTCCAGGGCCTCCCAGAGCAGCTGGCCGGAGCTGCCTGAGGGCTCCAGGTGCAGGAGGCCCTGCAGCACAGACAGCAGCTGGGCCGATGCTGGGGAGCAGCTCACCTGGGCAAGCGAGAAGGCAGGAACCCGGTCAGCGCTCCCCACCTCTGCCCGGGGTGTCCACACCCATGAGCCCCTGTGTTCCTGGTGACGGGGGACTGTACTGTGCGTTACAGGGTCTCCACCACTCACACTTCGGGGAACACGCTCCGCCCAGCGGTGACAAATGAAGGTGTCTCCAGATGCTGCCAGATGACAGCGTGCACGTGTCCCCGCTGAGGGCCGCCAGGCTCAGGACTTGGGACCCCGATGATGGCCGCCAACTACGAGGCCCAGGACGGTGCAGCCTGACCCCGGGCAGTACAGCCCCCATCCACCTGCAGGGCGCCCAGCTCTGTGCCACTGCTAGGCCCTGCCCCTGCCCTGTGCAAGCCTACCTTGTGGAAGAGCGAGGTGAAGACTTCCTGGTGGCTGTTCATGTTGATGCCATCACACACGTGCAGCAGCTCCTCCTCGTCCTCCACCCTGGCCTCCTCAAAGGCCTCCAGCTGGATCAGCAGGTCGGCATCCTCCAGGTCCCTAGGCGGAAAGGCCGGCTGCTGACCTGCTGCCCCCACTGGCCCCTGGAGGCAGCTGGGGTAGGGCTCATGGGTCTGAGCCTCGCATGACCTCCACATAAGCCCGGAGGGGAGGGGAAAGGAAGGTGAAGCCCACCCCAGGCCGGCCTTTCACAGCCGTGCTGGCTGGGGCTGACAGCGTGAGCCTTGTTCGTCTTGCCTGGCCAGTGAGCAGAGCCCTCAGCAGGCAGGGCCAGGCCCTCAGTGCCCACCTGGGCATGGGCACCCACCCTGCAGAGCTTGGCCACTGGACAACAGCCGCACCAGCCGGCGTCCCTGGGGCAGTGTGAGCCGAGGTCAGGACAGGTGCTCAGCTGGGCCCAGGTCCACCTGGGTGGCAGGTAACTGAGGCGAACGGTCCTGTCAGTGTGCTCGAGCTGCATCTAGGGTGTGCTCACACTGACACCTTGCCATGTGCCTGCCGCTGGCATTAACTGGGGTGCTGTGCCAACCTGGAAGCCCAATTTCTACGGCACCCTTGACAGCGGGCTCAGGATGGGGCACAGGGCAGTTCTAGGAGCCACCTGTCCCCTGGAGGTGCAGTGTGGACAGGCAGATGGGACTCCAGGGTCGGGCCTCGCCTGGGAGGAGCAAGGGGGAGCCACAGGGCCGGTCACAGCAGAACTCACCTCAGCCGGTTCAGAACGTCCAGCAGCTGCAGCCCTGGGGGGACAGTGGGTCAGAGGGCCTGGGGGCTGCCCCCGGACACCCACCGACCTCTTGCGCCTGGCTTACTTGTACTGGACCCCTTTCCCTCCCCTCCTTTGTCACTCCTGCCCCACAAAGCACCCGCTCACAGGACATCAGGGGACAAGAGGAGACAGCATGCCAGACACACATGGTGCCTGTTCAGTGGTCCCGGCCTCCTCCACCGCCCAGCCGGCCTCAGACTGGAGCCAGCAGGGTGGACATCCAGGCGCTCCAAGGCCCGAGTCAGGCGGAGGTGGCCAGAGGCTCCGGGCCCCGCGACAGTGCCTCCCCGGGGATGGGGCAGGTGGGCGGTTACCGATGAACTCGCTCCGAAGCTGGGTGCGGGTGCGGAGGTCTGCGGGGCCCAGGATGATGGCATTGACTGCGCTAAGCAGGGTGACGACATAGGGCGCGTTGTCGCTGTCGGACAGCTCACTCATGATGACACTGAAGCGGTACTGCTGGCTGCACACCATCTGCAGGCCAAGGCGGTGAGTGTGCACCGGGGTGGGAGGCCCCGCCCCCAGCTGGCCCTGCGCTCACCTTGTAGTGGTCCAGGGCATCCAGTGTCAGCGCATGGCCCTCAGGTGAGTAAATGCACAGGGCGGCCAGCAGCTCAAACACCTGCTTCTTGACCATCACGTTAGATGTGTCCAAGGCTGGAAGGGGTGGATGTCAGCCGGCCCACTGTCCACCCTCCTGGCCAGCACGGCCCACAGGGGCCACTGCCTTCTGACTGCAACTCAGAGCCTGGCAAGTGGACACCAGGGGGCACCCTGGGCTCACCATGTGCTGGGCATGGGGCCTGGCCTGCTGACTCATGTCCGCACCACCCTGCCTCCCACACTGCAGGGCCACCCCTGCAGGGCAGAGCTTAGAGGCAAGGTCAGGGGCCAGCCAGTGCCCTGGGGTCAGCCTCGGCGGGCCCAGCCCCTGCTGCTAGCTCTGGGTGCAGTGCTCCCCAAACAGCACCCCCTGTGCTAGGTCACGCAGCCTAGAGTCCGTCCTTGTCCCATGAGCCCTGGAGTTCTACCCTGTGCCCAACTTGGAAAGTTTTGGGGGTTGTTTCATTGGCCCCCAGACAAGAGCACAGCCAGGGCCTGGCCAGGGAGAAGGCTGACTGGCTGGGCCCCGGGTTGAACGGAGGGCGGCCTCTGGTCACTCGGCCACACAGGCCCTGGCCACCCCCATGGCCCTGCCCTATCCCTGCCCAGAAACCTGGCCAGCGCGGGAGCCTCTGTGGGCCTGGTTGCCACCCTGGAGCAGCACAGAGGGTGGGCAAAGGACACACGAGATCACTGTCCAGCAAGGGGCTTCTTGCCACAGGTCGGGACCAACGTGGCCATGCCCAGGAGACATCTGGAGGCGGTGGTGTAAATGGACGGGGTGGAGGCTGTGCCTGGTGCCTAGCCGGGCTAAGGTGCAAGAGCCTGGGGCTGGGATGGGCCCTCACGTGGTCACTGTGTGGACCAGGACCTGGGGGCCGAAGACGGGGCCACTGCAGGGCTGGCAGAGCCACGGGACAGAGGACGAAAGGGACAGCCATGCAAATGGTGGGGACGTCCTCCGCCCTCCGCCGGGGAGCCTGCCCAGCTGGCCCAGCCCAGCCCGTCCCGTGCTCACCCAGGGAGAGCCGGCGCACGTAGCCCTGGTTGCTGAGGATGTACCCGATGCCTGGCTGCGAGTTCAGGACGGCGCGCACGCAGCTGACACAGGTAAGCTGCAGCAGGGCATCGGCGATGCGCGACACCCCGCGGCCCGACAGCCTCGCCAGCGCCTCAAGCAGCAGGTCCAGGCCACTCTGCTCCAGGAACTGCACCATCCAGCTGCCATCGCTGCTCTCCAGCCGCTTGCGCAGGCCCGAGTAGTTGACCACGGAGGGCATCTGCAGCAGCCGGATACACAGCTCGGGCTCTGCGCTCTCCAGGTTGGCCTCCGTGGGGTCTGAGTCCTGCGGCCCCAGCTTCTCCTTCAGCGCCACCCACTTGCGCTGTGCACCCTCCTTCACCGACATCTTGTCAAACTGCAGGACAGGACAGGGAGGAGGTGGTCAGGGGACAGGAGTGACCCCCAGGCTGAGAGGCGTGGCCACCAGGAGGTTTCCCCACTGCTTCCTGCTGAGAGGGCTGGAAGGGAAGAGGGTTAGGGCCTCTCAATGAACAGGAGGACCCCAGAGCAGATCCAGGGAGGAGAAGCTGCATCACAAACCTCAGATCCTGAGCTGGGAGGCTTGGAGGGGCCCCGTGGGCAGCTACGCTGGCTGGAAGGCCACTGACTGGCAGGGACGATGCTGCTGGAACTGTGTCTCTGAGTCCCTTCCCGGCCGGGGTGCGTCCCAGCTGCCCATGGCCTCGGCTGAGTGACGAATGCTTGGTGCTCACCCAGGTGGGCGGCTGTGGTCTCCCCAGACCACAGTTACGGGGGTGCACAGATGAACTGGCACTGGGCCCCAGGGGTCAGAGTGTGGGTCTGACTCCAGGCCAGGGACACCCCAAAACATGGTTTTCCTAAGCAGAACCATGGGGCAGGCAGACAGCATCCTGCCGCCACCTCGAGCCCCCCTGCGTGGACCCAGCTGGCTGCAACTCTGTCCCCACTGCAGCCCCTGGGGACAGCCTCAAAGGTCAGGGGCATCCCAGGCCCTCCTGCGACCATGTACGGCTTCGATCTTATATTTAGGGCCTGAGAACGGCAGCGTGGAGCCACAGGAGGGTGGCCCTGGTGGGCAGCACTGGGTGGACTTGGCCCCACTGGAAGGGCACCTTCCCCAGACCTTCCGCTGTGGGGCCATGGAGGAAACACTCAGGGAGGCCAGGTCTCGTACCCACTGCTCCACCATGGAGGACAGCGGAGGTGTGGCCAGACCCCAGGGGTCACCGGCAGTCTAAGTGCTTCTGTCCGGTGTGGCTCTGCTACAAGTCCTGCTCAACTTGGTAAGCTGAGACCACAAAGGGGCCGCCCAGGGCCACCCAGGACCCATTTGCTGAGCAGGGTGGGGAGACAGGCACCCCTTTCAGGTGGTCCTGGGTCCCCAGGGCCCACTTTTGCTTGGGTGAGGGTCCTGCAGTGCCCCTGCCTGTTCAGAACACAGGACAAGGCTCTGTCCAGCCCCTCATCGTGTGCCTTGCAGCTGCCCTGCTGGGTCAGGGGTGGACAAGAGGTAGTCCCTCCATCCTGTGAATGGACCCGGCTTAGGTACCACCCGCAGCCCGGTCACTCAGCCTAAGCCTTGGTTTCTGCATCTGTATCTCTGGCTTCAGGCCTGCAGGTGATGGAGGCACCGGGTGGATTCCACTCCTTCCTCGGCCCACAGCCTGAGCCCCTGCTAGGCCTCAGAAAGCGAGGAGCCTGCGGTCCTCCCTGGACCCCCATGTTTAAGCCTAAGGCCCACCCTCGGTCACCTGTGTCCACTCACCCAGATGCACAAGACCTTGCGGCCGCCTCTGCCCACCCATTCCGGACCCTGCCGTGGGCTTCTCATCGCTGTGGACTCCACGCTGCTGCAGGTCCCCAAGGCCCAGTAGGGAGGAGCAGCAGCTGCTCCACCGTGAGGAGGAGCAAGGCTGAGTGGCCTCTGGATGCCTGACGCCCACCTTAGGCAGCTGCCTGAGGAGCTGCCTGGTGTGGGTCCTCCCTTCCCCACCCACTCTCCGCCCTGCTGGCCGGAGTCCCTGCCCCCTTGGCACAGGCTGAATGGACGCAGCGTGAACCCTCCCAGCCAGGCCTTGGCATCCACAGTGTTCACTCCAGCTGGGAGCCTGAGCTCTCCAAGCAGAAGGACCTGAGCTGGACATAACAGGGCCGCCCAGAGCTTCGGTGCCCAGGCCCCAGGGTCCCCAGATACGAAGGCCAGGGTGCTTGCTGACCTCAGGACTGCCCCAAGTGCTGCCCAGTCCTCCCCACCTGTGTACCCCTTGTCCCTAGAACTACAGCTCCCTAAAAGGCCCCAAATAATGGGCACCCCCTTGGTCTGACGGTGGAACCTGGGCAGGAGGTGACTGTCCAGCTGGGCCAGCAAGCTCGGCTGGACACCCAGAGGCCCAGGTGAGAGCCGTTCCCCCTGATGCCAGCAGACTGCACAACTTCACAAAGACCGGTGGGGTCAGGCCCCAGGCAGAGACGCGACCCTACAAAGGCCCTGCCTCTTCGCAGGTGACACTGCAACCCCATACGATGGGCAGCCCCGGCAAAGGGCCGACCTACACCCAAAGCCAAGCAAGACCCCGCACGACTGTGGGTCTTCATCAGTGATCGACAGCTTCCATAATTTTTGTCCAACAAGGAGCCACAAAGCCCCAAGCTATAGGAGCCCCTGCTTCCCGTCAGCCTTCCTTTCTCCACGGAGACTAAAGCTCCCCCACCCCTGCTCGCCCTTGGGTCTCTCTGTCAGGCACAGAGGTGGCTGCAATCCTGAACAGGGCCCTGCCAGCCCCAGGGCACAGGACGATGAGGACCCAGTTTACTGGTCTCAGGGGCATAGTGCAATTGGCGACAGTGCCCCAGTGGGTACCGAGGCCAGCCCAAGTGGAAGCGTATTCCTGAGCTTGCCAGCGGTGCCCTGGGCCAGATGCCCTGGGCCTCTGTTCTCTATCTGCAAAGTGGGGACAGGGCCAGCAGGCACTCCAGGAGTGTCGGGAACGTGGGCCTTCGGCCTTCGGCTTTGGGCCTGCCCAGCCCTGGGGCTGAGGGTCTGGTTCCCAGCCAGGCCTGGCAGGGGACTCAGCTCAGACTACCGTTTGGGAGTGTGGCCTCAGGGCAGGGCCCTGAGCAGGAATTTGCCTTAGCAGTGCTTTTACCCAGCACCTTCCAGGCTCCAGTCAGCCAGACTGCTGAGGAGAATGGAGGAAGTGTCCCATGGCCCCGCACAGCACCCCCTGGCCCCAAGGAAGCTGCTGCGGGTGGGGCTCATCCCTCACCAGGATGACCAGTCACTGGCTCTTCAGCTTTTGCTTTATCTGTTGACTGCAGGGCCCTCTGCCGGGCTTTCCGCTCAGACCAAGATTCCTGCAGGTGGGGTTTCCCACAGGGCCTGCCAGGGGCCAGCCCCTGCAGAGGCAGGGACTGGGGTCCAGTCAGCCGCTGGCCACCCCCTTGGAGGTGGCTCTTGGTAAGACATCTGACCCCTCCCTGCACCTGGGCACCTGGCATGGTGATGCCTGTACCTCCATTCCACAAGCCCAGGCAGCAGCACTGACTCAGGGTGCCTCAGGCCACTGCCCTGGCTGGGAGTCGTGGGTCCGCCCACGAATGGAGAGGTGGGGTGACGGTGACCCAGACCTCACAGGTGCTCTCCCTGGCCCTGCTGTGCACACGGAGCCAGAGGGCGGGGGGTGTCCAGGTGGGCTCTGGGCCGTGCAGTGCCTGGAGGGACCCCAGCGAGGGCAACCGGTCACTGGCTCCCAGGTGGCACAGAAGGGTTCCCTGCCCTTGAGCAGCATGCTAGGCCTGGGGACCTGTGGCTCCTGCCAGGTTCCCCAGGAGGGACAGGCCAGCTTCAGCCTGTGTCGTGGGGTCCTGGGGAGCTGTGTCAGAGGCAGAGGAGGGCAGGGGCACTTGGGGGTGGGGAGGCAGCTTAGAGGGCCCTGACAGTACCAGAACAGAGGCTGGGATGCTTCTGGGATGGGGCTGGGGGTGGGCAGAAGGAGGGAGCTCATCTTCCATGGGTGGGCAGAAGGAGCAGCAGGAGCGGGATTCCGGAACCTGGAGGCAGGGGCTGCAACGCTATTTTTAGCTCTTGCAAGAACCTAAATTTTTCCACTGCCTGGCAACCCTCAGTTCTTCAGAGCTGCACGGTCCCTGGCAGCTCCGGGGGTTCTGAGGCAGTCCCTGCAGCTGACCCCGTCCACTGTGACCTCCCCTCCTGCCAGCTAGTATCTCCTTCCCATCAGGCTGCAAGCCCCCCGGGGGACTGGGGCTGCCCTGGAAGGGTCACTTGCAGCAGGCTCGCCTGGGCAGGTCTGGAACACCCAGCTGCCACCTGCAGCCCCAGGTCAGGACAGCCACCTGAGCCTGCCTTCATTCAAGGAAGACCCCGGACCACTGCTGCTGCTCCCCAGGGCAGAGAGGCCAGGACGGGAGGGCATGATGGTGCTCTCAGCAGCAGGTTAAACAGCAAAAAGCAGGGAGCATAGGGCCAGGGATTCAGCTCAGTGGTTCCACCGCCTGCCTCAAAAGCACAAGGACCTGAGTTCGATCCCCGGTACCAAAAAAAAAAAAAAAAATGCAGGGAGCAGGTGCATTAAGTAGGGCTGCAGCCACATGTGGGGTGACATGTCTGTCACCAGGACACCTGCCTGATGCCAACAGGAGCAGGAAACAGGATATGCCTGCCAGAGCATGGTGGGTGCTACCCTTGGGCTGCACTCCTGTGCTGGCACCACGTACTGGGGTTCAGTGGGCAGGCAGGGTGGTCTCCGGGTCTCCCCTCCCCCAGCACCATGCTCCCCGGCCCAGGGAGGACAGGAAGGGTGGCGGCCCTGCACCAGGAAGCCAGGTTTCGCTTCCATCTGCTGCGAGACAATGCAGGCCCAGGCTGCCCTGGACTTGCTGTCACCACAGGGCCCCTCTCTGGGCCCCGACTCCCCAGCTGGACAAAGAGCAGAGTCAATGCTTGCTCTCTGAGGGCCTGGCCGCCCGACAACCTTGGGGTTCTGGAGAGGCTTGGGGAATGACAAAGACACCTGAACACAGCACCCTGTGGTGGTTCCACTCAGACACGGAGGGCAGCTTGGGCCAGGGATCTGGCAAGGCAAGGTGATCCGGACTGGAGGCCTCCTCTGGTGCCTGGGCCCCTGTCCTTCCCTCTGCAGATGCTTCACTGGGCCATGGGGCACACCCAGGAGAACTCAGGCCACCCCAGGGTGCTGTGCTTAGGTTCTGCCCTAAGACCGGACACTGTGGAGACTCGCCTCCAAAAGGCTGCTGTGTCCCTCCTATGCTACGCTGTCCTCGGAAAGGCCTCTCCCAGCCCGGGGCAGGGAGGCTAGGACTCAGGTCCTGGTGGCTGTGTGCTGGTGCCTCAGG